TCTCTCTCTCTCTCTCTCTCTCTCTCTCTTTCTCTCACACATGTGCGAATTTACCACCGTTACTTTCCGAGAGTGTATGTAAATTTAACAAGAAGCGAGTCAGAGAGATAAGATTACGCGGTGGCGCAAGTTTCGTCCATTTGCGCAAAAACTGTCATAAAGCAAATTAACTCGGATTTAACACGGTCCTCAAAACCGCGGACGAAGGAGGAAGTTACTCTCTCTCGCTGAATTCTACATACTCTCTTCTCCTCGCCTCGCGCGGCGTTTCCGACTCTTGTAACGTATTAAAGTAATTTTAACACGCCGTTTACTTCGGCTCGCGGATATCTGCGGCTCGGCATCGCATTCTCCACGCGTGTTTCGAGGACGAGGGCATTGACGTGTTTTAAGTATACGGTGCCGCGTTAAAGCCGCCTTGCGAGCGAGACGCGCAACTAATCCGCAAAAGTTCGTTTCTTTCTTCCCGGAGCTGGCGAGGCATCCTCGGACACAGACAGCCACGGGGGGTTGGAACTACTACCACCCCCCCCCCGATCTAAATTCGCTATCCGCGGCGAAATCGTCATCGTGATGCGCACACACGCACGTGCGTGCCCGCGGCCACGCGCCGCCTCGCTCGCACACAACACAACTCCTTTCCCGTAGTTTTTATTATCCCGACCGGTCGTTCCGTTTTCGAAGTCTCCTCGCGGCCTCGGTCCGAAGAATCGCGCGTATCCCTCGCCTCGCGGTTAATATCTCGCTCTCGGATTCGCATCGGAGTGCGAAACGTGTTACTTATACGCGCGTTTCTCTCCTAGACGATCGTTCGTCACTCGGCGTCAGAAAAGTTGCGAAACAAGATATGTCTTTTCTCGCGCAAGTTGTATTACGTATGCATCTCGCGATTGCAAAACAGGAGCTATATATATATATATATATATATAAATTTCTGCGATCGTGACCGTAATTATAATAGCGCGCAGTGGTTCGTCCTTTTTTATTCCGACGCGGAATGATTCCCTGAGAAAATCTTGCCGAGAAAGCTTTCTATATAACGTTTAAAACCGTCGTCTCGATGCATAATTGCGCGCTTGATTAATGATCGAATCGTGATTAATGACTCGTCGGTGGCGACGACAATGACAGTCGCCAGACGATAATGACAATAATCAGTCGCGTAATGACTGTTGGCTCTTTGCCGCGACTTATTTGCCTCGCATTCGCGCGGGGACGCACGCTGAGATCATTATCTCGCGCGGAGAAGCGGCGTCGTCGCCACGGGCGCGCGTTCCTCGTCTCGGCGCGGCGAGAAAAACCGTGAAAACCGATTATAAAATGGTGCAGCAGCTAGCTCTCTTAGCGGAGCTATCTCGTGCGCTTTATAAGCGCAGCCGGTCGTGGCACGTGAGCGCGATGCCTCGCACGCACGTGCGTGAGCGCGATGATTTACACGGCACGCGGATTTAGAACGTTTTATATGTATATCCCCGTCGCTTGTTCCTCGTGCGTGCGTGCGTGCGTGCGTGCGTGCGTGCGAGCGAGCGCGCGTGCGAGCGTGTATATACGGCATTTTACGCACGCGTGTTAAACTCAGCTATACAACGCTCGCATATGCGGCAAAAAAGCTCATTATGTGTAATATATGTGTTACGTAATGTGCAACATAATTTTTTTTTTTTTTTTACCTCAGCAGAATGAACTCTGCGTAACGTGAGAGAAACAATGTAAGGTCGATGTCGGAATCAAACGCAATCTGGATGTTACGCACGCGCGAAATATTTTTAGCGTGTAAAATAAAATGCCGGTTGTTAAACTCGAATTAAATTTAAATTCGAAAATTTATTTCGCATGTATTTAACTTGCATCCAAGATAGAATATTAGATTTGAATTATTACATGTGTACACGTGAAGTATTATATGTGTATACACTAATTTACACGTTAAAACACATTTTGCGGCGTTTCAGAGTTTGACTCCAATTAACATCATTTTTTTTTTTACATATAGTTGAACACTAAAAGAGTGTTGTATTATGATGTATACAACTTATATATGTTTAAAATTCTGCTTTGAAATACGATTTTGGGCAAATATTGCACTTTCGGAAATTTATAAACGTGTTCTTGCTGAAAATTGAAAAATCCGTGTAATAATTTTCTTCAAAGAAATCGGAATCGAGTTAATTTCACGTTTTTGACAAAAATGACGAAGAAAAAAACACGCACGTTATCTTCGTCGCGACTACTGTCATCCGGACGCGCGTAGTTTCTTTATAACGAGCGTACTTGTTTTTTTCTTCGAGCGGAGAGAAATGTTTTTTTTCCTCCCTCTTTGTCATTCGGAAAAAGGAAGCGACGTTAATGTCGCACAACCAGCCGGTACTAGACGGTGCGACCGTGGAGGACCTTCCGAGACCGTCGTCGTCTGCCTTTCGTGTTTGAATTTAGAAGAGTCGCAATTCTCGGAAAAAGAGTGTCGCGAAGGGTTTCGCCCGCAGTCTCTTTCCACGTGCTGATCGCGTCACCCTTACGAGACACGATAAGGACGTTTTTTTCGGTCTCTTAATGCGCAAAAAAATCTCTTTACGATTAAATATTTGATTGATATTACGCTGGTGTTTCTGTGCGACGCGAGAGAACTTCGAAAATCGAAAACACAACGAAAGACATTTATCTTAAAACATTTTAACGATGAAGTTTGCGCGTTAGATAATTTTTCAAATAAAAAAAATTTCTCGGATGAGAAAAATAATTAACGACGTTGATATCAAAGAGCACACACCGCGTGAGTGCGAAGCGACATTTTGGCGCGCGGGAAGGTCGTCGTTCTCGGGCACGCGAGAGAGCTATTCTCTTCCATGAGCCGTGTGTGTTATTCGCCGTGCTTGTTTTGCCCGTGGCGAAGCAGAACATAATGAGAGGGAAGCGAGAATAGGTCCTTAGAAAATGAAGCGCTATAGGAGGAGAGTCGCTTTTCGAGAAAAGAGACCACCCTCTCGTGAGAGAGATGACTGACGAACGTCGCTGTAATGAGAGAACGCGTTTTCCTATCTTTCTCTTTGTATTTTCCTTCTTCCTGATACGTGAAACCCGAACCACCGAAATTCGGTTAACGACTCGGGGAAGGCGAACAACGAGGGGCCTTTGCACATCTCTTTTTCGTCTTGTTTTCAAATTCCTACGAATGTAAATCTTCCGTTGCGCGAGAATTAGCCGCGCAAAACGAGAATTTTGAAACGACGATACTTTACAAACACACTAGGTGGGAGGTAAAACATATACATGTGTATATATATATATATACATCGCGAAGCGCGTATTTCCTTCAGAAAAATTGCCGAATATTCGGCGCCGCGGTTTTACGACGGCATAAAGCGCAAGAGCGATATCTCTCTGTTTAACCCGCGGCAATCGGTGTGTCATTTAAAAATCTCGAAGAAAAAAAAAGGGAGACTCGCCTTGATCTCCCCGCGGAGATAAAAAAAAAAAAAAAAACAAAGTCTGCGCCCTTTTTAGAGCGCAGACCGACGAATCGTCAAAGAACGAGAGATGTTCGTTTGGCCACGTCGCGCCCGCGTTCTACGAATAATGTCCTCCTTCCGCTTTCCGTCGATCCGCGAATGTTTGATCTCGTTGCGAATAGAAACATTCGAGAAACTTCTCGTTTGTGCCGCTCGCTAAATTAGAGACATTACTCGTCTTGTCTTTCAAGTACGCGAATTACCGATGAGAGATAGGAAAAATATCTCGCGCGCTCTTCTAAAAATATATTTAGCAACAAATTCTGCTGACTTTTTTTTTTAATGTGACCACGCGCGTGAAACTTCAAACGCTACATATCGCGATTCAGATTTTCCAATACTCAATATGACAGTTTTTTTAAATTTACGTAAAAATATTTTAAGTATTTAAATATGTCGTAAAACAAACGCGCGTGAAACTTTTGGTCCGCGCATATACATTTTGCCAAAAATTTATTAGAATACAGTTTACAATCGTGCAGGCATCTAGCGAAGATCGACGTGACTCAGATGACAAGCAACACCGTAGATAAGGAAAATGTAGGATGTATAATGCGTTAACAGATCGGTAGATGGCCACACGATTTCACACGCCGCGGACAAAACCGCATTCATTCAAACGCAAGACCACTTGTTGACGTATCGTTCTTACAAGTTTTGCGCATGTATATTCAAATAAAACATTACGAACAACTTTTTTATGATCGCAATGATCGTTTGACAGAGTAGCTAGTAATATAAATTTTTTTTTTTTTTTTTAAATCGCTTCCGATCGAAATAATTTCGCTTTTCAGTTGTTTGATTTACATTGCGACAAAAAAAAACCGAAGAACTTTGATCGAAATCAATTTTTCAAAAAAAAAAAAAAATTTCGTAACAACTACCTTGTGGTACGAGAGTTCATCGTAGCTAGAGATGAAATAATTTGCAAACTTGAATTTAATGGCGCTGCGCGATACAAACTTTTCGCGTGAACGATTTTATTTGCAAGCGACGTGCAATTGTGCAAATTATTACTTTTACACGTACTGTGTAGCTGTGATGCGAAGGCCGTTTCGCACTTGGATTCGATTAATCGCCGACGGGCGTTAACACACCTCGGCCGTGGAGTAATTCATGCATCCTTAGGTAGTCTTCAAGACACGACGCTAGCATAGAAAATCGCAGCGCCAATACGGCGCCTGGTCATTGAGGTGTCAAGATCGATCTACTCCACGATGCATACCAATCAACGCGCATCGTTCACGTTCAGGAACTCGAACGCGCGTTCTGGTCTTTGTTCTATCCCTCTATGTAGATATCCGCGCGCGTTCAATTCCCTCTTTCGCATATTTGCATATCGCGCGAGGTAATTGCAAACCCCGTGTACGCCAAATTGCTCACGCATCGAGCAAATTTCAGTTATACATGTGCACCAATAAAAAAAAAAACTACGCATATAGAATTTATATGCACAAGCGATCTCTTTAGATACATATCTTAAAACGGGAAATAAGCATCTGTACAAAATTCAGCCTAGAAAGTTTATTATTCTTGGTTGTTGTTTCCTCCCGAAGTTTTTGTTTTGCAAGGGATATTTTTTTTTTACTCTGTATACACATGTACAATATATTATGGGGATTATATTAAATACTCTTGAGTGTGTGTGTGTCTTACTTAAACAATAACTTTCTAATAACCGACATTGTATTTCACCGACGTAATATGTTTACAAATTGTTTTCGAACTACGAATCCGCTCAATTCAGATTCAAGCTCTATTCGTATTTTTAAGATGGCCAATAATTATATTTTATACATATATATACATATGCCCGTATTTGACTAGGATCGCATTTTAATTAAAAACATCGTCGTCACGAACAAACGCGTCTACGCGCATGGGACATTCTTCAAATTACGAATAGGGCGTGTTGTATTCTTTTTATCACAGTAACATATCTAACACATGTTACAAAGTTTGTACTCCATGTGACATGTGGCTAAAAATACAAAATGCGCATTATTATTATTATTACATTTATTCGAATACTCACTCGCGTCTAATGGTTGCCACATGTAAATTATTCAAGAGAACCATCGCGATCTATATATAAGTATATATATATATATATATATATATACAATTGTACAAAATCTATGAGATTACGCAACGTGTTAATGTTGCGATGCGCGAGTTTCGGTAATGAGGTAAGATGGCCAACTGTACAATTGTTACTTAATTGTTGCTACTTTTTATTCGTGTGTACAATAATAAAAGGCAAATTGTCTATATGTAAACTTAATGGCATCGCCAAAAAAAAATGATTTTATGAAAAAGTGTAACTTTTTTTTTCTTTTCGTAGAATATTTTATTTATTTATTTATTTATTGTTTTTTTTTTTTTTGATAATCGGATTGTGGCAAGTTGTTCTTTGGTGCGTGAAAGATACAATGTGTGAAAACGGCACTGTCGCGATCATATAAAAAGAACTATTGTTTATATTTGCGCTAAATTAATTGTAATAGTAACTCTTTGAGGCTCACCACCGGATGTAACTCTTGTATTCTTCAGTTATGCTAACTCGCTTGATGGTTTCGTACCCTAAAATTATCGAGAAACTGAAGCAAGCGGATTGTACGAGTCTTGCCGATAGTCCCTTGGTGAACATGTGCAGTCCTTCCTCGATCCATAGTATTCTGAACGCACTCAGCATACTGTCTAACCGTTGCACCTGCAACCTCGCTCTCACAATGTCCAAAGGATTTGTGATAATCGTAGTTGTAAAACCACCCAGTGTGCCCGCTATCGCTTGTATACCCAAGTGAGAGAACCATCCCGGAAGTAGTTTTATAAGCTCGTCTGTTGAGGAAAGATATAAGAAATATAATGTTTTTTTTTTTATCCGCATCTCGATTTAGTAACAAAAAACAACTACCTTGATAAACGGTGTACAGTCCCCACCAAAGAGCGCTGTTAGGTACGTACGCGCACAAAGACGCCACGTAACCTCGATAAAAACCGCGATAACCATCTCTCTGATAAATCAGCTTTATTATATCGGCGGAGATTTGTGCGCGAGTTTTTCCGGGTTCAAGAGTCAGACCTAAAGGATTCATTCCCATCTGAAAATACATTTGATATAAATTTAGATATTTCAAACCAGTTTGCAGAGGCTGAAAAAAAAAACCGTATAGTGAAAATTACTCACTTTATCCACATGTATTCTTCCATGTTTAGTGTTGTTGATACCAAGAACCATTAGATGCTGACTTAGAACGTCAAAAGGAACAACTATCGTTTGTCCGACCAAACTTGCCGCGCCGCCGGCTATTAATGCTTTGACCTTCGAATCAACACGTCCAAGAGATGTGTCACTGAGCAAGTGACGTACACCCTCGTATGTTGATACGTAAAACACTCCGGAAACAATTTGAATGGAACTTATCCAAAATCCTCTGTAAAGGCCAGACACACCTTCCACTTTGTAAATTTTTCTACATGCATCTATCATACCTATAACACATAAAAAGTAATGTGTGTTTAATTTATTTAAGTGACTATTTTTATTACACAAGTGTTATCAAAAATATCACTTTAGAAATCAATTTAAAGATAATCAATTACACATATGTACCATTGTACATGTGATTTTGTCTTTGTACTTGAAGACGAGTTTTGATCACTGTCAGAGGATATAAACAACATCTGACTGAGAATGAGGACAGCATGCTGAGCGGGAAGAATTTGGTCTTGTCCATCATATCCCACTCGATGGTGCGTATGAATGGTGTTGCCTCTACCGCAGACATTTTGCGGATAAACACAAGTATTATATCGCACAGTGACAGATGGATCAACTACAGAGATTTGCAGAGGATTTGGTCTAACCTGATGCCGCATATCTCATCGATATATTATGAGCATTAATGCTCGAAATTAGAGAAACCTATAAACATACACGATTATTTGCACAAAATAGAAAATATAACATTACAACATTTCTAATTTTAAATGCTGAGAAAATTAAATATCGTTGCCTGACGTATATATAAAAGAAATAAATTTTGCAAAGAGGTTTTACTTAAAATGTCTTTCAGATTTGTTTCTAGACTGTTTTGACACAAATACGATTTAAAAAATTAGGTTATCCTAACCTTAAAACAACTCTTAGAATTGCATATATATATCTTATACATTCAAAGTTTGAGATTTTTGTGCTGCAAGTCAAAATCACTTTTGTAACATTGTTTAAAAATACATTCCCATACCAAATTACGTCATACAGTTAATTGCAAAACAGTAAAGTAATATCTTAAAGCTAACCTGCAATTGATAACACGTCACAAAAAATCTACAAAGTTACACAAACTCTTAACGCATTTGTATACAAACTATAAGCACAATCTATATATTAGAGATATTGTTTAAAAGTATACATATTTAACAGAAAATAACAGTGCACATACACAAAAAATTCACTGCTGTCACAATAATTAAAAAAGCTTTTTTTTTTTTGCAAAAGCGTGTATATTACTTCCTAAAATAGAATTGCGCGAAAGAAACTTGATTATTTTTACAATTCTAGTTTCAATAGAACGCGGGACAATACAATTTCTATTATTTATCAATTTGAAATATTAGTTTCTTGCAAAACAAAAACTCAATGCACGTGATATTAACAATCGCGGTTAATACTGCAAGTCATTCGCAAAAAGTTGCTTAAAATTCGTTGACGCTTACAATGATGTAATGTTTGTGAAATCTGAAGAATGTGTTCCAATGGCAAAAAGCCCTCTCCTCGTCGACTTTCTCGCTCTCTGTCAAGAAGAATCTTTAACGTGTCCTTAACATAATGCGGCATGTGTACGTTTCCACGTCACCACGTGTCTCAGATTAAACATTTACTGTATTGCAAATGTAAATTCATTGTCAATTTCAAATTTTCGTCGTCACTACGGTGTTAATTAACAATATTAAGATAGCAAATTACCAGTATACAAACTAATGATAAATGATAAAGTTATCCAACGTACGTATTCTGGAAACTGTGCGAACACTTGTGTGTGTGTGTGCTGTGCGCGCACCTGTCGGTTTGTATCTTCCCGGTGGTGACATCTCCGTAAACAGTTTGCACTCTTACTTACCAACGGACGTACAAAGCGGTTGCGCGTTTGTCGATAAACGATAATATCAAATCTTACATTATCGACCGGGTTCTGTTCAAAAAATAAAATGTACAAAAAGGTTAAACCGCCTTTACTGTTCGCCAGCCTCCGAGAAGTTCGGTGAGTGACGACTGTGTTTTAATTATTTTCTTTTATCTGACAGTAATACAATGAAACATGAATAATTGTTTACAAATGTTCAAAAACCACTTGCTAATATACAATGACGATTTGTATTCAAATTTTTATATCAGTTGGAATATTTTTTTCTTGATTTCGCAAGGAGATAAATTGAAAATGTACATGTAAAGGTTTTTATTTGTGTATCATTTGTCTTCTTGTTGTTGTCAGATGTATATAATTGTAATTTTCTAATTTTTAGATAGACTGTGAAGAATATATATATCACACTTATACAAAATAATATTCTAAATCATTCATTAGAGAAGTTCGTTAGACGTCACGCGGGGTTATGGACACCCATTAAACGTCTAACAGACGTCAAGTTGGCGCGGGCGTAATTAAGCATAATTAATAACGTCGGAAATTAACGGGTTTTTAAGATATGTATAAAATGTATACGTATATTCATTACATAGAATACAAATTGTCCTATAACTTTATCACACAGTCGGCGAATTGCTGAAACTTATATGCCCGCACACTTACTTGAGACTTTATTATTACAGATAAACTCATCTCTCAAGTGCGAGAGTACGAATATCTTGATGGCGATCGAACCGAGAGAATTTAGCGGAACTCGCTACTGAGAAGAAGGCTTAGAGAGCTCGCTCTATCTCTCTTTTACCCTTTCTCTCTCTCTTTCTACCGTAGAGAAGTCGGTGGTGCAGCATCATCCCTATCGTATTGCGAGCATGTGTTACCAATGAATTCCAGACTCCGCCCAGCACCCGTTTGCAGTGGTCGGAAAGGAGGCGAAATACGCGCAGGACTGAAGTCTACGTCACGTTTAGGGGCGTACACCAACGTCGGAGACACAGCCCCCGGCGCAAGCTGCGAGGGTGGCTTTTACCCCTCCGTTTTGCGCCGAGATCATATCACTTGGATTTCAGTGCTATCTTCGATCTTCGTGCCGTAACAACATCGGCAGATCCGAGATCCGCGCGTCGCGCCAATTCGATAGTAAGTTTTTTCTCCAATCGAAATCCTAAGTGGAGTTGTCAGTGACAATTTAGTTTCTCGTACGGAACAGATCGAGAAGAACTCAACGGGAATCTCGTCAAGTTATGATGAATCTTGCCGATCAAGAGGTACCCGCTGCGACGACGGAACTGACAGGCTTAGTGAGTAGTTGAGAAAATTGATCTTTTAACAAGATATTGAGTTTATATATATATATATATTTTTTTTTTCAACCTACGAGGATCTTTTATATCGACATCTCGGCGAATTTATTTTTTGATTTTTTTTTTAATTCTAAAAAGGTAGTTAATATTTTTTTAATAAAAAATTAGCTCTCTAAATTAAGACCTAATTGACAGAGTTAATCGACTTGAACGTACTCGCGAGATAATATTTATTTGAATTCAAAATAAATAAATTAGGTAACGTATACTTTGCTCATTTGGTTTAACACACTTCTCTCGTATTAACCTTTGACCGTAAGCATCAGTATATATCGTCTATCTATTACAAAAGTGTTTAAGACCATTAAACGCTGCCGCGCGTCCCGTTTGATCCGGACATCCGTGTCCGACTTTCACAAGGGAGGGGGAGGGGGAGAGTCGAGCGCCGCGACACAATCGAGTCTTCATCGGGGGTTGGCATTCGAGGTCCGGGTCATCGTGTGTGCACAATGCGGCCACTCAAGAGATGATCGCTCGGTCGGGTGGCGAATTGTCAACGGCACGCGCCTCCACGCTCCGCCGGCTCGTCCCACGGGTACCCACTCCCCTTCTGTGTCCTCTAAACACGTAATTGTCGCCGTTATTCTCTCCCCGCGTGCCGTGCGTGGCGTGCCACCACCGTGACAACACGACACGCGGAATCCGCGGGTGGTCAATGGACGTGTACGATATGTACGAGAGGGGATGATTTGACGGAAAGAGAGAGAGAGAAGGGAGAGAGAGAGACTCGCGAGGAAAACACTTGATTTATGTTTGTTGGTTCTAAAAATCAGCCGACTCTCACACGCGCCGCCACCCTTTTGTGCATCACCGTCGGAGCGACGTTTAACTGACTGCCGGCGCGAGATATAGCATATGTCACCACTCGAGTTTCCCATGATTAGGGGCGACTTCTTCGGTTACGGGGCGTGTGCTGGATCACGAAATGATACCTGCGGCTTGACCGACTTTTTTAATTTTTTTTTAGTCGATATAGTGCCACTACGTATGTTTATAATTGCCTATTGTTACGTCATATTGTTACGTATTTAGTAATTTTATTTTTTGTTAACTTTTATTTAATAACTCACTTTCCATTTGTTAATCAAGTTTATTGTCATATCGAAATTCAGAAGCAAAATAGCAAATGTAAACGTTTTTGATCTTCTTAGCGAGACTTTCGCGATGTATAGAAGGAAGCAATTAGGTGATAAACCTCAGTCAGTGTGACGCGCGCTTTAATCTGAAGATCTCTCTCATATTGTCCCTCTCGCCGGGCATTGTTCACTTTCTGGTGTTCGCCGCTGTCATTGTCTTCGCATCTCGCTAAGGGCAAGAAAGATGTGGCAGGAAAACTTTCTTGTCGAAGAGTAACGAAAGCTCCTTCTGTCTGTAATTGATTAAATTGACTGTTCTTGCCGTTTTCGACACATAATTAGCAGCGGGAACTCTATTGCCTTTTATCTCACACTATATTGCTCAGATAATATATCTATACATAAGTAAAAGTAGAGCAAAAGTGTCTACATGAACAATGTACTTTAACGAGTGGTTTTAATATAATAAACTTTGTTTGTAAATTGGCGAAGAATTTTGAGATGATAAATTCTTCGTTAATTCGAAGCTCTTCAAATTGTATTTAAAATTTTAATTAATCTAAAAAATTTATATTCTTCGTTTAAATTCAGGAAATTTACTTTGATAGAATTTTAATATTTCAAATTTATTGTTAGCTATAAAAAATTACACAAAAGTCACGATGGCTTTCAAATTTGCACAAATAAGGAAAAAAGCGGCTATAAAAAATTTGCAATTATTGATAAAGTCAGTATTTTTTTTTCTGAGAAAAATTTTCTCTTGATTGCAAATTAACTGAAACGTTTGTTCACAAAGTCTTGTTTATTTTGACCACATTTGTTCTTCGTTTTGTACAATATTATCAAAATTATATCTTGTGTCTAAAGTCGTGCTTCTTCCGCGATCCGTCGGACGATCGGCGGAGGGAACGTAATTTCGCGATCACGTGTCGTCTCCGCTCTCGATGACTTTATTATAAACCAAACCGAAGTGCACAATTACTAAGAGGGTGAAGAACGTGAATTGGAGAGGGGGATGCGACCCCGTTGCGAACGGTGGGGCGTTCCCTTCGACTCATCGTGGGTATATCTCGTTTTCACGAGAGATGTACAAACGCGCGCGTGTGTACGAACTCGCGTGTCGAATCCTGTTCCACGTGCATTCATCTAAAACGACATCCGCTGAGAAAGGTCACGTCGCCGTCGGGTCGAGATGTTAAATGGCGCACACGCATTTCCGTGTTTGCGCCGCTCGCTCACGCATCATTACCTGACCAGTTTGCTGGTAAATCCCTGTCCGATAAAAAAAAAAAACAGTTTCTTTCCAGCGAGGATTTAGCGTGTTCGCGTTGAACAATCATTTGAATAATTATAAAAAAATTTTTAAGAAATATCTAACGCTCTAAGAATATATTTGTTATTAATCGAGACATTGTTTTATTTATTTCGACAATTTAATTTTAACTTAAGTTAATGTTAAATAGTTTACAGAGCTTGTTCGCGCTTCGCGAAATATTGAAAAATGTTCTTTGTACTCTGCGGGATGTTTTTTTTTTTTTCTTGCGTCCGTAAATATGTAATTTTTTCGTAAATATGTACACACAGCGGATTGGCAGACGCATTAAACATTTAAGACGGTATTAGTGAGTGTAATTAAAATTTATGTCCAAGCGCGCGCGGCGGGTTTTGCACGCGGATTACGGGTGCCGTGTCATCGCGACGGCTAATTGCGGACGACGATTAATTGCGATCAAAGGAAAATCTCGAGAAGAAATTACGTACAAATAATGGAACTTTGAGCAGCGTTACTCTCTTCGCCGGATGCTCGTTATCAATAAATTTTCTATCAGAATCGTTCACGTTCGTAGATATGTAGGGAATTGTTCGATTTTTTATTTTACCGCAGGTGTTTTTTTTTTTTTTATAACAAACGTAGTTTTTAATTATAAAAATAAATTTTTAAATATACATGTTTTATCTATTTGTTTTTTTTTGCAATATACATATTACGCAAAACATATTGCAACCGCAGTTCGCTCTGTCACACAGTCTTCTCGGTCAGATTTCACGGAGTCAAAGGCAACATCCACGTTATCGAAATTCCCAAAACCGGTAACTGAGTTTACCACTAGATTGCCCCGCAAGGAGGAAACCGTCCAATCGTTCACCGGATGTCTTCCTTGCCGCCTCCCTCACCCTTCTCCCTCTATTTCTCACTGTGTCTTTCGCTCCTATATTGAGAGGCTTCGAGCCTCACAATCACTTTCTGAAATTAATTGCATTCTCTCTTTCGTGAGAGCCGATATTGCGCGATTTGCTTTCGAAAAAAAAATAAAAAATCTCGGTGTGTTGAATACCTGCCAGCCCGGGCTAAATCGTGTGTTTCTTCCCAGAAACGAACATTCGATATTTATCGATATTCCTTCCTATTTCTATATTACTAATTACGTTATTTGTTTCTTTGTCATGTTCCAGCCCGGAAACGGATTTGGTAGACTGCCCGAGCCGCTTCAGACGGTTACCGGGGAATATTGTCCCGGCAGCTATCCGGTGTCTCAGTCTACGAGCAATGAAAAACTGCACACGGGTGAGCGAATGTTTTTTTTTCACTCGAAATTTCAATTGCGCTCTACAGCGCCGTAGTTTTTTAATTAAGTATCGCATTACGAAGGAACGCGCGACGCAAGCGCGGATCAAACACTTCTTCTTACTCCCGCGTGTCGCTTGTTCTTTTTTTTTTTTTTTTTTTTTTTTTCCCGNAAAACAGCAATTTATTTTGACAAAAACAAAAACAAAAGAAAACAATCGCGCACACAGGAGCGACTGCAATTAGATACCAACAACGTATAAACGTGCCGCGTGTCGCTTGTTTTTTTTTTTTTTTTTTTTTTTTTTTTCCCGTGAAAAGAGTATATCCCTAAACTACTTTACGATCTTAACGAGCTTGCGGGGATGTAATCAAGGGAAAAGGTGAGTGACGCGGGGCAAGAAGACCGGTCGATTCTTCGATTCCCCCTGTCGCTCTCGAGCTTTGAAGCTCTTTGATACCGCGTCGCGGCTCTCGGAGACGTCGCGTTTCCATCGGGCGATGCCTTCGATACATCGTGTTGAAGTCGATGTGTAGATCGTCGCGAGCGGGGAACGCACGCACACACAGACACACGCGCGCGCGCACATACATATATATATACAGGGAAAGGGCACGTTTAGGAAACACGTGCGGGGACATGTACCCCGAAACGAAGCGCGCCCGGCGACTGAGGAAGAGGGTGAGACAGGGAGGCTGAGCTATACCCCCCGAAGAGAGCCTGTCACTCGCAGGCAGTCGAGTCGATATCTTTATATAGTCGCATCAACGACGACATTATTTTCCAAAGGTCGCGGCGACGTAGACACGGTTGCGTCGTCGTCGTCGTGAGAGACGTCGCCCGAGAGAACAATCTGCTCCAAGTACTTGCCCAATTACTTGACCCGAAAATGTCTCCCGACCCTGCGCCTGCAGACCTCAAAGAGAAATCTCCGGGCGTTTGGAAATATGCACATTGTAATCAGCGACGTTTATAAGAGGATGCCGGAGCCGCTCGTTGGTTCAATTAGTTTTTTTGTTTTTAGTTGGAGAAGACACAGATTTTCAGGGTTTCTTTTTTTTTAGGAAATAAACTGTGATGACAATAAACGTGTAAATCAAGTCGCAATAAATCATCCGCGAGGTCGAGACATCCATCGGAGACACGACGAGTTAATTCTTATCTCTTCTGTGCGATGATGGTGCTTCCTGTTCCGGACGAGCGTCTTAGCCTTGACCCAGAAATGCGGCGCCAATTCCCCGATACGAAATTCAATAAGTGACGTGTTATCACCGCAAAAGACTCCCCTGGGATGTCTTCGCGGCGTCGAACCCTCCCGTCTTCTCTCGACGGTACCCTTGTCTCGGGGAGAGAGAGTCGCCGAACTACCCCACTGGCGTCTGGCTGCAGTGATTGACACTTTATATCCAGCATTGGCATGCCATGGTGCGAAGGCGCCGCTCTCACTCGGGATGGACCGCCTCTGCCTAACTCAATCACTGCCTATAATGCCGCAATTTCTCTATCATAATCGCGTTACGTCCCCTTCCCCTTCTCTCTCTCTCTCTCTCTCTTTTTTCTCTCTCTTTTTCACACTGGCTCGATCCAGTTTTTCGACGACGATTCAGAAATATTGAAACTCCGCGACGAAAATACCTCTCTGCTCCCCCGTTTCGTTCGTCTTTTTACATCGTGCAGCTGGTGCGGCGCGGCATTGTGACGATCTCGTCTCGGCTCTTCCGAAAATGAACGCGAGAAGGAGCGCGCGCTAAAAGTGTAATTATTAAAGAGAACGATTGAAAAATATCGAGTATCAAATCTCTGGCTTCTTATCTCTCACGTGCGATGGATCTCGTGTCGCGTTTATCGCGTTGCGTTTAGCGACAACCGTGTAATGTTTTTTTTTTTTCATTACAAAATAATAAATCGCAAGTACGTCGCAAAAGAGAGTGCGCAAAGTTAATTCCATTATCGCGCATACAAATGTATATTGTATCTCTTTCTCTCGTCAATTCTCTCTGAATGTTTCTGGCTGAATATACATTTGTTATATATACGTGAGCAATGAGCTGTGGTGTAAGTAGATTCGATTCGCGTCAGACTGGATTCTGCCACGGAACAAAACGAGGTTACCGCCGAGTGGCTACCCATGGCGAATCCTGGAGACCCATTAAACGCGCCACCCCAGTTTTTCACGACGGCATTCTTATGTGGCCATTCACGCTCAAGGGTTTGTTTTTGCTTCTGATTCACTCGCACTGATCGGGTGCGTCGTTTTCTTTTATCCTCTCTCGAAGATTATTTCGCTGATCGCGCGCGTTTCGGGTCATCGATCCGAACGCTCTTTTTTTGTTATTAAAATCGCTTTTCTTTTTCTGTTATTAATCGTATATTAAATCACCAAAAAATATATATATATATATATTTTTTTTAACATCGAACGTATTGAATAAGCGCGCACACACATCAATAATTAATAAAATCATAACGGAAGCTCATCGCGCGTTCTGTCAATTTCTGGCAAATATTACTCGATGCGTACATACAACAAATAAATGTATATTTGTATTTCATCCTGTTTGCTGTTGACTTTTCCTCGCAAATCAATGTGCGCGTCGGTGTTAATTTACGTTATTTTTGAAAAAAAAAAGTAAAATAATCAACTTTGATTGCAGGAAGCGAATTGTACATGCCGCAAGGCTATCGGCAAGAATCTTGGTTGCAAGATGGTGAGTGTTTGACTCTTAATCTTATTGTTATTGCGTCTGACAATAGAATTCGATCGTTTGCGATAACGATAACGTAATTATTGTTCACGTTTGTACAAGTTACACCTGTGTACGTGTTTAAGAGGAGGACCTCCGTAATCGCCCGGATAGCTCAGTCGGTAGAGCATCAGACTTTTAATCTGAGGGTCCAGGGTTCGAGTCCCTGTTCGGGCGGTATTTTTTTTTACTTTTTTTTTTATGTTATTCGCAAGAAAAATAATATTCTCGATAATTTTTTAATTAAAAAAAATTTTTCAAAGAAGTATTTACGTAAGAATTACGTAATAGATCAAGAGACTAATGTGAACGACAAGACCGTTGAGTATTTATTTAGGTGTGTCGTTTGATAAGATCTTTATCGATTTCTTTGAACATGTATTGCATAAAAGTAATAACGGCGTTGAGTTTAATATTGATTAAAAATCAGAACGTTATTAATTGCTATCGTGAGACTCCATCACACACACACACACACACGTACACACACCCTATTGAATTTTAGAATTTAGAGATGTAGTATCAAAATTATCCCTAAGCCGGCAGCGAAGATAATTACGTGCAGCCACGTATTCGTTCGGAACATTAATTTTAATTATCCTCACCCAACTGTGATGTAATACGCGGTGGACGCGTAATGTAACGATCAAAGGAGGGTGATTTTATCGTGAGACGAGAAAATATAGACGCGTTCTTATTAGAAACTTGAATAAAAAAACTTTTGTTTGTAGTTATCCGTTCGTTTTGTGATGCAAAAGTCATTGCGGAAAACATAAGTTTACGTGAATTATTGTAGATACATTTGATATTAATTGTTTCTTTTTTCTACAGGTAGCAGCTCCGAGACCGAAGACAGCGAACAGTACGTGCCCGAGTTTCATCAGATGTCGAGTGAGTGTAATTTTGTTTGTTTTTTTTTTTTTTTTTTTAACGATCTCGTATTATTATTTAAATCACACATCTAATTATAGATTCGCGGAGGAAGGGGAAATATATCGCGTTGTTATAATCGCGTGTCGCGTCGATACTCTCGACGTCTGATAATTCAAGTTGGATAAATAAATCCGGGATTGGAATCCGCAGAACTGGATTGTGAGAGGATGTCAATCTCCGCTGAAATCACCACGAAATCGTGTATATAGCGCGCGCGGAAGTGTTTCGCGCGCGCGCGCGTCGGTTCGGCTCGAAATTGGTTTGGAAAATCTGTTACCTTTCCCCCCTTTTCCTCATCCCCCTTCCCTTACGGGTTACCGTGTTGTCTGAGAAGATCTCTCCGACTCTTCACGAGAGAGAAGACACGACGAATCGCATCTTCTAGACGAGACCGTCGCGCCAGAGCGACCGAAAATAAAGCAAATCGAGTCGCGAGATCTAAAAGCCGCGCGAAACAAAATTTCCACTCTCGCACATGAAAAGCGACATGAGAGCAAGACAAAAAAAAAAAAAAACGGTAATTGAGAATAACAACAAAAAATGATATTGCATCCGTATAACCGAAGTGATATTGAATATCCGTATATATAACCGTCTATTAACAATTTAACGCGCAACTTCCGTCATTGACAGATCAATTAATAACACGTTACACACATATACACCGCACGTGCATATTTAATTAGTCGTCGACACTTTACACGCGCGCTGCGGTTTTCCTGCCGGTTCGGCGATACGTTGTTTTTGCACCTGCGTGCGGGTGTACGGCAGCGGGTGACGATAAATTAATTGCGAAATTTTTAATTTTATCCGTAAAAAAAAATAACACATATATATATATATATCTCGCGCGCTACACATTATCTCGCGCGAATCTCTCGATCTTGCACAGCCGCTCAAAGGCAGGAGGAAGTGTGCGGGGGGTTGGAGAGGAGGGGGCCGCAATATCTCGTCGATGTTCTTTATTAAAAATCAGCGAGAAGTCGCCCGCGGGGCAGAATTCTTTTTTAGCGTAGTATACAGAAACGGCCGAGAGAGGAAAGAATCAACACGGTTCGTCTCCGCTCGTTGCGGCGATCATCGATATCGGATTACGCGAGTAAGCACTTTATATTAAGCCGGCACAGCGCAGCGCGCGCGCGCGCTTTCGCAGCTCTCATCCCGCTTCTTGTTTTTTTTCTTACTTCCGTTAATACCGCGCGCTGCGCTTATTAACATCGGCTATCGATATACTCCCCGCCACTTTGTCGTTTCCGCGACGATTCGTCGCGATAAACGAGAGAGAGAGAGAGAGAGAGGAGACGTACTCCCCTGGTGAGGGAAATGAGCGCCGCGCGTGTATCCGACTTCTCTCTTCGACGAGAAGATATATTATTACGAGATAAATTACCGCGTGGTTTACATTATTCCGCGCGCAAAATTCGCGACGTACATACGATACGTGTAATTCAGCGTGGAAACAGCGTTGAACAAACGTATCGTCGAACATTTCAACCCGGACGGGCAAACACCCAGAGGGAATGATCGAGGGGTGAGGGGGGAACGGAACGGGAGGGAGGGAGGGAAACAGCTAATGTCTATATGCACACTACACACTCACGCACGCGATTCCCAGGCCGCGTATCTTCTCTGTATGTAATATATCATATACGTAACTCTCTCTCTCGCGACGTATTTAAAATGATATATGCGCCCGTGTATATCCTCGCGCAGAGTTGATTTTTATATTAAAAAAAGAAATAAAAAAATCATCAGAATATAACTACATATATATATATACGCGCGCAATATATCGACGTCTTTATTTAGACTTCATTCGGGGAGAAAGTTTGTCGAGAAGAGGATAACAATATGATGTAACATTACATCGAGAAAGATGCGGATATATAGATATATGTGCCTGTCACGCAAAATTAAAATATTCTTGAATGTTTAGATGACAAGCGTCTAAATACACGTAAAATCTTTTTATTTATACACGCACGTGTTTATTTTACATATTTTTGTTACAAATGTGGTTGTGTGAGCTCCGAAGATAAAAATATCGCGCGAATTTGTGTCTTCGTCGATTTCTTCATTTTTTTTTTCTTTTTTTTTTTCCGGTCAATACGTACACACAAGATATACATGAAATTGTCGAGAGTAATTATTGTACGGGATCTCTCGCGACGCGATACGCCGAGGATAATCCAATCTACGATGGCGCGGCGCGTTGTTCGGACGCTTCTTCCTATCGGTAAACTTCTCCAATGTTTACAAATACAATTATTGCCGGAGGCTTGTGACTTACGCTTCCCACGGGCTCCGAGGAGAGAGTCTGTTTGATTTATCGGGGGCGCAGCCCTCGCCCTCGCGAAATCGTCGGCACCCCATTAGACCCCACCTTCCCTCTCACGTGTCGTTGCAGCGATGCGTCTTCACTTCCGGGACGACACGCGCCCTTATGTCCTGTGGCGCCCCGCCGTTCTTTTCGGCTATGAATCGCCCGAAGAAAACGATGCGCGCGCGCGCATACACGCACTCGATAAAACGTTAACGATATGCGGCAAATAAGGGAGGCCTCGCAAAGAAACAGTCGTAAAAGTCATTCACGAATCTCCGAGCATTAACATTATAATGAAAACGAAAAAAAAAGACAGTATGTGCAGGCGCACAAAAGGAATCAATGACTCGTAACTTACGTATAATTGTTTTTGCTTTTTCGTCAGATGCGAATGTGAAACAGGAATCGAGCAATTGCACGAGAAATGGCGACAGCGGTAATTACCATCCCCAGTATCAATCTTCCGTCGCGCAAAACGGTGATTTTCTCGAGCTCAGCTCGGAACGTTGCTTTGGGTAAGTTCGAGAGAAAGAGAGAGAGAGAGAGAAAAAAATCAATCTAGCAGAAGTCGAATTTTTTTTCTTTTACGAGATTGCAAAAATATGCATGCGATTTAGAGATTGAGTTTGCGTGAGATTGAGTTTGCGCCAAAAAAAAAAAGGGAAAAACTTGCGTTACACGGACTCGAGAGCAATTCGCGCGAATTCTCTTTGGCAAATTGATAAAATCTTGCGTATTATTTGCAGAGATCGCAAGATAAACGCGGCGAGTAAAAACACGTCGAAGGACGTCGCCGTGAAGGAAGAACCGGCGGATCGAAGCTACGTGGAACCGCTTCCCGTTACGAACATATCATCCGCAACGTCTCAGGACACGCAGAACGGTAAGAATGAGCAACGTCGTTTGTTCGTCGGGAAAAAGGGGAGGGGAGATACATTAAATTGCGTCCGATATAGATTTTGCGATCGACATATAAAAAACGGCCGTGACTTCTATTTCCATTGGAAAAAAAAAAAAAAATCCACGCCGTGACAAATCTCCGCACAAAAAGGATCCACGTGGCGCCGTTTCACCCCCCTCATGAAATCCATAAATAATCGGGGAGAGAGGGTACCGCTGCTTGTCCATTAATCGAGCCGACTTCCGATTAGCCCTTTGAGGGTCTCGTAGTTACATCTAGGATAATAGTCAGTCCGCGCCGTTCTTAATTGCGTCGCTCGTGTCAACTCGCCGCTATCGTCGAGCTGTTTATGGCAACAATAAACACATTCCCAATGACAAATAAATCATCGCAACGAGTATTTACACGCAAGTGTTTGCAAATGATACATTGTGCATCAATGTGATAAGAAAAAAAAGTTCAAATCTGCGAGCAAAAATTAATAATAAATGCAAAGCGCAATTTTTTTTCTACGTAACACATGATATATTTGACGATATTTTTTTATCATGTTTTTATCGACGACATCTTGAACGCGGAGAAGAAGGATTTTTTGTTCCGAACGATATATCGAGAGCACGCAAGAGCACACGCTGATGCGCGGATAAAATCAAAAAAAACATTTCCCGTGCTTGCTGAAGAGAGAGAGAGAGAGACTCGTCGAGATGATGCGCGCTGGACTTGATCATGCGTGACGGAGCATGCGTAATTGAATAATTAAACGATGCTTTTAAGTCGAGAGGAATGGCGAGCGTCTTGTAGATTTCAACAATAGCTACCGAAAGTACGCGAGACTAAATCTCCAGGGAAAAACGTAAGTCAAAAGCTCTTGTATATATATGTATGTATATATATATATATATATATATATATACACGCGATTCGTACTTTAGCGCGCAAAAGAGAGATTTTCATTTGCGCGATTAATAATTAACCTTCTTCGCGTCAGCCGTACGAAAATTTCTTTTCGCAAAGACGAATATAATTCACAGATCGTCGCGAGCAATATTTTAACAACCGATACAACCGACTTCGTTTCAATCGAATTGCTCATTATCTAATAGACTGGCGAAGCAAAGGCGCGAGGACACGCGCTGTATCTCTCCCCGCGTTGTCCCCCTCTCATTCCCGAGTCTCCGCAAAAGATATCGAGTCAGCGCGCGAGGGGTTGCAACCTCATGCTTTGTAATCAGACCGATTAGTCTTCCTTTATTCACGCACACGGGGCACGCGTATATACACGCCGAATCCTTTAGGAACTCTCGGTTACGCTGTATCCACGGCTCGACACTGTATACGCGATATACTATACCTACCCGCCGACTACCAAGTCACCTGGGATTATGCTCATGCTCTCCTCTTCGCGTAATACTCCCTACCATTAAGCCGTTTTAATTATTTACACGTAGTTTAGGTTAATAATAGGATACATTCCCTATTGCGCCTCTCCCCGCTCGTATCGATATCCCGCAATCTACTTACGATCATCCGATATTGTTTTGAAAGGGAAAAATCGTGTTTTTCCTCGCCCCCTCCCAGTGTGTTCGTTGAACACTTCGGCATCCTTTTATTCTGAAGAGCGAATATATATGCAATGTCGGCACGAGTTGGAGATGATTCGTTGTTGTAGGTGTTTTGTTGTGTAAAAACAATATTTCAACGGTGGAAATATACACAGTCGAAAATTGTTCGGAGAAAACTCGGTGAAATTATCTCGTTTAGAAAAGAAAAACAAACAATTCAGAGAGAGAGAGAGAGTGATACGCGACGAGCGGAATAGTAATAACCAGTTAATGGATACCGATTGGTTCCCACAGTTCCACTAATTAATACGAGCAGAGGATTACGCGGATTACACAGAACGCCGATGGTCTGTTCTGTTGGACAGCCAACGGAGTCGCTCGTCCGTGTGTTTTGTTATATTGGCGCGCGAAAAAAAAAACTGTTGCCGAGAATTGCCGCAGTTCGCGTTTAGATTTATGTAATCTTCGATTCGCGTTTGCGTCACACACATTCCACGGTGACGAAACAAATGCACGCGCGACTAGTGTAAAAAAAAAAAAAGACAAAAAAAACAGAGATAGACCTGTTTCCTGTTCGCACGGGAAAGGACAAGACGCGGGCTCGTCAGATTTTCGCCGTTCGTCAGGTGGAAAATAGAGTTTGCATTATTAAACGGAGCACTATGCCGGAATGCGGGGGATTAGCGAGGGCAGAAGAGAGGAGAAAAAGCGAGATATAGAGAGAGAGAGAGAGAAAGAGAAAGAGGACACACGGAAAAGGGAGGAAGAACCAGAGCGGCACAACGCGAGTCTCTCTCCTCGTCTGAGAGTGGACGAGAGTGGAAGCCATCCTCTTTTCCGTTAGACGAGCCCACCCCGCCGCGACCCGTGTGTTCCGCCGCCGCCCTCTGCGTCCAGTCCAGAATTCACAACCCTTCCTCCCGTACCACCCTCGGTGGTGGTACATCGCCACCGGTTTCATCAGCTCGCGATTAATTTTAATCTAAAACCACCCGCAAAGCCTCTGGCCCGCGCGCTCGCTCGCTCGCTCGCTCGCAGGCCGAGGTCAACCCCTTTCGCCACTCCCGTCCCTGCGCCGTTCTCTCCGAGAGAGAGATAGAGAGAGAGAGAGAGTGCCAGATTGGTCCAAAGCTTTCAAGCTCCCTTCCGATTTCTCGTCCGAGAATCCGACGAACTAACGTTCGTTGAAACGCGGCCAGGTGAAGCGCGAAACAAGATACAAATAATAACGGTTAACCATCGAGATTGCTCTTCTGAACAACCTTCGTTTTTTGGAATATAACATAAAACATTCTAGTTTACCAAAAAAAAAAACAGTAAGCATCTCGCTAAACAGAGCGCACTTGACACACACATTAATCTGCAGCAACTCTTTAAAAGTCTCTTCACCTCGCAATTTCTTTTCTCCCGTTTTCGGAGAGGAATAAACTCGACAAATATTTTTTTTACACGGTCCATCGCATGTACATTTAATATTGTCTCTCTTTTGTTTTTCTTTTTAGACACAACTCTCAATCTCTCGCGTGCTCTCTCTGTTTTCTCGAAGAGAGATATATAATCCCGGCAAATCGTCCGTCATCATGTCCCTTGCGCTGCATCGGCCGCGCCGGAAAGAGTTTCGCTTCCTCGAATTTCGGCGCTTCCGCGATACAACGCTCGTTTTTCCTTCTCTTTATTTTCTCATGGATGCATCACGACGTCGCATCATCAAGCGGCGCAACGTTTATCGGGGCGCGCAAGCCAGATCCGAAGCGTATGCACGCGCACACACATCGACGCGTATGTATGTAGCCGCGCTGCGCGGTGGCTTCTTCAATTTTTCAATATTCCCCGTACGCGACTTGGAGCGTAACCGGATTACGGCCCGAGAATGGCTCTTTCGATACCGCGACGTTGACGGGGAACGGGCGGCGACGCTCGAAGAGAAAGAGAGTGGGAGAAGAGCACGAGAAAGAGAGAGAGAGAGACGAACGCGGCTCGATTAATATACATATCGCGCGAGCTCTCGGCTTTCGATATTTCAGGGGGGCAACCATCGCATCTCGCGTACTATCCGCGGGCGGGCTCGCCAGCCAGCCCCCGGTGGGCTTTGAATATCCACCAATTTCCTGCTGATATTTGTGTGACGAGAGCGCTTCAACCGGCCCGGCGCGTGAGTGCAATCGGTAATACGGAACGCGCTTTTTGTCCTCTCTAAGAATTTTTTTTTTTCCCTCTTTCTACCGCTCTTCTCTTGGTTTTCTCTCTCGCTTTCGTCTCGCATCGGTGCGGTAAAACGCCCGATGGATAAAACCGACGTTTTTTTTTCTTTCACGACGCCTTCCAGACTTACGCGCACAGAAATGAAGAATTTTTAAGAATATCTTTGCAATCTTTTTTGTTACGTCATCAATTTATTCCTGCGGAAAATTGTTTCTTCAGAATTTAGATATGTGTACGTATCGTAAGACGTTGCGCGCGTGTAACGTCACGAACGAAAACATTTTTAGTTATTCAGACAATATTGTACAAGTTTTTTAATTTAGATGTTTGGTGAATTATAAAGTGGATCCTGGGAGGAGGAAAGAAGAGAAAAGAAATTTAATTTTCTCTTGCAGCAAGCAATTTGCTCTATCAACAACGGCAACAACAGTACGGAAACGTAACGAGGGATCATCCTAGAGGATCTTCGCCGCCCTCCAGCCGTCCGGCCAGCGCTTCCTCCTCGACTTCTCATCAATGGCAATCGAGCTTCTCTTCCGAGACCTTTCTGCCGCGACAGGAAAATTGGAATTCCGAGGCTTACGCGAAACGGAGCGTCACGCCGACCTGGACGGAACTCGGCACGCAGCTCGATCCTCGAAACTCCACCTGGGACAGGCAGAACGGTTGTTATCAGAAAAAAGGCTCGCCTATTTCAACTTGGAATTCGGATCACATCGGCAAAAGGCCGTCGTCGGCGACCGGCATGTCAGCCTGGAGCGACGTTGCTGTCGGTTATCAGCAACAACGACGCGGCTCTTTGCAGTTGTGGCAATTCCTCGTAGCGCTGCTCGATGATCCCGCGAACGCTCCCTGCATCGCTTGGACCGGCCGAGGGATGGAGTTCAAGCTGATCGAACCGGAAGAGGTTTGTTGATTAAAAAACCTCTCTTTTGCAAAATATCCAACGTAACGTATAAGTTTCCTGTTTGTTTGCAGGTGGCGCGCAGATGGGGCGTGCAAAAGAACAGACCGGCCATGAATTACGACAAGTTGAGCCGCTCGTTGAGATATTACTACGAGAAAGGCATAATGCAAAAGGTCGCCGGCGAGCGATACGTTTACAAGTTCGTCTGCGATCCGGACGCGCTCTTCAACATGGCGTACGGTACCGGCGCGGCTTCGGGACTTACCGGAGAGGTTTCAAGTAGTATGGTGCGAAATCACGCGGCGTCCGGGAAAGGAGGAACGGGCGGTAACGAGGTTCCCGATTTGATGAAACATTCAGCCACTGGGTACAGCGACGCGGTTTTTGCCATGTACTCGAATACCGCCGCAGGTTAGACTTCGTTCAACGTTGATTGCTTCGTGTATTAAAAAAATGATATTTAAATCACTGCGTTATTTCGAGATGCACAAAACCAGGAAATGTTTTTTTTTTTTTTTTTTTTTTTTACAGTGTACGGTCCTTCCAGTCTTCATCATTTGCATCAATACCTCGGCGCTAACGAAAGTTTCAAAACACCACCGAGCAGATACCATTCCCACTATCCTCATCAATACGGTAGCAATCATCATCATCATCATCACCACCCGCCTGCGAGCTATACGGACACCTTTTTGAACTATAGTCGATTGTCGTCGCACGAGACCGCTATTGACTCGAAGGTGCAAGAACCACCGCCGAGAGACTCGTACCATACCCAGGAAACGGAGAATACCGGCGGCAGAGACCGGGACGTCTCGTCGATATCCTACGAGAGCGTGCAGAGATCGCAATTACCGGCTACATCGGCGTCCGCGCAATCCTCGTCGTTACTTGACAACACGACGACGAGCTCCAAAATCGAACAAGCGCCGTACACGTGTCTGGGTGTCGGGAGCTGCGTTTGTTAAACGGAATGTGATGAAAAGTTTGTTATTTGCATAATATATTCTCGACGAAAGAAAAATTATCCTGTCGGTCTGACGCGATCCGCGATTAATTAATAGCAGCGATTAAAAAGAGAATCGTGATTTCAAAGAAAACAAAACAAAAAAATCTTGTGGATTTACATCTTGTAAATATAGCATGTATTTATTTTTGCGCACCAAATTATCGTTCAGAGATGGACTAATAAAATTTTTGTTTCACGAATCTCTCTCCCACAATTCGCGTCGAATTACAATTATCTCCGATCGTTAATGCGTGCGCGCGTGTCTAGAATAGTTTTATCTCGCGGTTGTAATTTATTTTATAAATATATATATATATATACATATATATATATTAAATAAATCTCTTTATGAAAATAGTACAATTACATTCAAAAATATTAAATTACGAGTCTTATTTACCGCTTCAACTTCTATTATAGTACGTGTGCACAATTCACGAAGCATAAATTTAATATAGTAACGAACACTTATAAAGATTAAATGTAAACGCGCGATGTGCGAAACGTGATTTGTTGTTTAACCGAAGTTCGCTTTGTTATTACTTTATCGGAAAACAACATTGCCCTTAATAAAAGAGTAAGGAGCGTTAAAAATAATACGCGAGTCTGCGGGGATCAAGGGAGAGAAAATGAGAAAAAATTTATCCCAAAAAAATCAAACAAACAAATAACTTACAGGACTGGGATCATACTTTTCACGGACTCTTCGCAATATATGACGCAAGATCTGTGATCGCGCGTGTATTTCGGGCTCTGACATTATATATGAATCGACCGTGTTTATATCGGTCTCTTGCTTTCCCTCACTCACATAGCCGATCCGTCCTTCCTTAGCACGCGTCGAAGTTACACCGACAAGTATAAACCGGTGACTCAAGCCGGCTTGTCGGTCCTGAAATGCGCTTCGCGCATTGCAAAAAAGTTTTAAGCGATACGTTTTCACGAGTGGAAGCAACAATATCCGGGAGTGATAACGCGAGCATTCGAGTGATAAGTGCATAATTAAGATATTGCTGTGCCAACATAGTTAGCGACGAAGTTCTCTAGATTGGTAAGTGTTTGCTTTTGACTTTATCTGCGTTTTTTTGTTATTTCAGCATTTTTTGTCAATAGGAAAAAAATATAAATTGTACGTTTCAAAGAGTTTAATATACAATTAAAGGGACAATGTTATTAAACACCAAAAAAAAAAAAACAAAATTTCCGTTTCTTTTGAAAACAAAATCTTTGTTTCTTTTTCTTCAAAAGTTTAATAATCGATTTGAAAAAAAAAACACGGTTTAAGAAAAATGTTTAAGCAGCGCGCTGAGAGAATGTTACGACAGCTGTCAAATATAACGATTAACTCATTGTCTAGTCGGTAAGCGTGTTTCTGTTCTACGTGCGTAGCCTTCTCGATCTCTGCGATCTACGTCAAAGATAAAATTTGCACGTATGTAATTTGTTTTCTCATTAGACGACCTCCGCGACGTTTCCGCGATTGGCATCTTCTTCTAATCGAAGCTTTCCGAATTGATTGCTCCGCGCGCAATATTATCACTTTCCTGCAACTAATTTTTAGCGATGATTTGGAACGCGCGATTTATCATTTCCATCGTTCTTGAATTGAATTCGCACACGGTTGCAACCGGAAGCGATCGAGCAATTAGCGACTGATAACGCGCGTAATAACGTTATTGATTGCAAAATTACTCGCGCGATTATTGAACACGCGTATGCGAGCGGTGTGATTGCGTTACCGGCTCCAAACTCCATTCGCGTGTAATTTTGGAAATTGACGAAAAAAACTGTGTCAACGGCAGGGGAAAATGTTTGTTACGAGTATTTTTCTACGTGATAAGTCTGACATCGCAAATTTTGAAATTGGAAAAATTGTAATTTGCACGGCGCAGATTAGACAACAGAGATACGCATAGAATATAAAAATTGGAAAATATTGAAGATTGTTGGTCTTTTAACAGACGAACAAAATGATGAAGACAAGATCGACGGAACAACAAGAGGAGGGAGGAGGAATGGGTTTCAAGGACAAGCAGAAAGCGTTAGACACGCTGAAGTCTCTGGACGGTCGTGACATCAGTTATCAGTATCACGTTATCACGAGTTTCGTCAGCCGTGCGAAAAGAACGTTGCAAATCACGCGGGACGAGGAAAAATTGGCGAATCTGCGGGACGCGCTGAAGATATTCGAAGACTGGTTGACGAAATACAAGGAGAACAATCGGGGAAAGGAGAATCTCGCGTATCTGCCGATCGAAACGATCAAGGCTTACCGCAGCCTCGCGAAGAAGTACGACGTGTGGGACGACGAGTTTTTCAAGTAAGATTATAATACAGAACGTTCGCGTTTGTTTTTTTTTCAACATCGATGACTCGAGGACTCGCGCGTCCGATACTGATATCGATTTTTGTTTGTTCAAGGGCGTACAAGGGTGAGAAGGGCGACTACAAGGGACTGCGCGCCGCGAAAGTAGTCGACGGAGACGTCACGTGGGACATTGAGAGAAACAGACGCTTGAAGAAGATCATCAGCAAGATTAAGGAAGAGCACATCCAGTGGTACGAGACAGACGTGGGCGATTTTCGTGGATTACCGACGAAGGAGCACACGCAGTGCATCGTGCTCGCGTACAGTCCCGATTCCACGAAATTGAAGAAACTCGCGAGTCAAGTGCGCGAAAAATTCGGGGAGGATGATGACGACGAGATGGACGTCGAGGAGGAACGAAGAGGCAGCAAGAGAGGCCGCGATAGTGCGTCATCGAGCGACAGCGACAGCGAGCCGGAAAAGAAGCAGGCGAAACGTTCGCCGGAAAATGTGGAAAACGAACAGAAAGAGGAGAGCGGATTGGGCTTCAAGAACAGAGAAAAGGCCTTGCTGAGCATCAAGTATCTGGAGGGTAGAGACGTGACTTATCAGTTTCACACGATCAGCGGTCTGGTGAAACGAGCCGAAAGAGTGATATCGTGCACGAAGGATAAGCAGAAGATCGATAACATGAAGGAAGCGGTGAAGATCTTTGAGAATTGGATCACGGACTACAATGTGAACGGTCGATCGAAGGAAAACTTTAATTATCTGCCGATCGATATTGTGCGGGCGTTCAAGCCACTGGCCGAGAGATACGATCTCGAAGACAACGGATTTCTCAAGTAAATCTTTATTATAGTCGATAAACTGACGTATGACACAAAGCAGATAAATTTAAGATCGTATATTCCTTTTGTTTATTTGCGACTTTACAGGGTCTACGAAGATGCAAACGGCGACTACAAAAAACTTCGATCCGTTCGAGTCCCGGATTCGGATGTCACCTGGGACATAAAGCGAAACGAGCAACTACGGGAGTTGGTGAATCGCATAAAAGAAAAGCACATTCAGTGGTTCGACACTGACGTCGAATTTCGGGGTTTACCTACCGCGGAACACACGCGATGCATCATGTGGGGTTTCAGCCACGATGTCGCGAAGTTGAAGAAACTCGCGCCCACTCTGAGCGAAAAGCTTCATCCTGCTGACTAAAAAAAAAAATGTCACTTTGCTTTCTGAATCGGTGTTGAAACATTGTCGAATTGGAAAAGCCAACGTCTCAACAAATGCAACGAAAAGAATATTCGCTGCATTTTACATTGTTAATGTTTTATTACGTTTGTGTTGTACACACATTTATACATTATATACTTTTTATATATAAAAATATATATTTTGTAATATAAACTCTTATGCGCTATGCAATATGATATAATAACCGTTAAATATTATGATTAATATCCGCATTATTGCTGCAGTTTGAAAACTATGTGATAGAAAAAATGGTCTGTGTAAAATATATATTGTATTAAATATATATTGTATTGCATCCCACAGGCCAATTGAATAAAATTGGACGTCTCTTAATAAAATCTAAAAGACGTCTCATTTCTTCTTCGAATAAGACATGTTTGAGGGAACACGTTTTTGGTTTTCAGACACGCACATATGTTTCCTGAGCAATGTATCAGCCGTTTCTCACACAAACATCGGAAGTGGCAGCATCACCAGCAACGCCTTCCTTTTTTGTGGGCGCGGAATGTAACAACACGTTTGATTCGCTCGAGATTGTCGCGTTTTGGTTTTGCAAAATCGTAGAACCAATTACGAGCGAATACGATGGCGGCTCTTCGACTTTTTCCTCACCGGATCGATCGATAGTTACCGCCACGTGACGTAACGGCGGTTCTCGTGCAGATACCACGGACGAGTAAGACGGCGGTGAGTCCATATTTGGCTGAGTTCTATAATCAGTCTGTAAAATATGACAAGTGAATATGAAAAAAATCAATAGGAAAAAACCGAGATAACAAGTAATACTTTATCTGTGAGGACGTTATCTTTGTTTTTTAATTTTTTCAGTTACAAAACAGTTATTATAAAACTACTAAAAACTCATAATGAAATCAAGACTTTAATCTTCATACTTTATATGTGTATAAATATGTAAATTAGTACATTATATATATATATATATATATATATATATGACTTTTAAATTTTTTTTTAAATTTTACAACGCCCTTTTATCTAATAACAAATCGTTGTTCCAGCATAGAACAAATACCTCTCCGTGATCTGTTAAGCCCGAAACAGTTCGAATTCTCGTTATTCTTTGATGCTCGCGCAGTCTTTCTTCATGAACTTTCTTCACTTTGCAGGCGTGATATATGCACGCAAGCAGAAAGATTATCGTTAACGCCACCAGAACGATCCACATATGCTCCCATTGCATTATTGACAATGCTGTCGTAAAGGTTATCAGCCATATAGTTACGAAGATGATGATCGTGCAATTGGACGAATCCGTTTCCTGAACAATCGGCATTACGGACATATTTCTTGTGTTGTACATTCACGTTGATTCAAGATAAAACGTCTGAGGAATGGCGCACGGACATTGATGGTTCACTAGACGTTACAACACCAATCCAACCGAACTAAGACGAAACGTACATTTAAAACATTTAGCCTGTTCTTCCATTACGTACGGCGCTTTATCGAGATCTTCGCTAGATGAATTATACGATAGTGAGAGCGAGCAAACACTGATAAAATATTATTTCCTCGCGCGATAGAAAATATATCGTATCAATTGACGATTACACCAAGGACGCGAGTGTTAATTAAAATAAAGAGTATATTTAAAAATTATTAGAACAGAACAGAATACGTACTCTCATAAAGAACAGAAAGCACACTGTTGCATCCAGTTCTGAAGTACACATCCTAGATGTGACAGCCTAACAAAGATTCCTCTCCGCAGCTAACTATAATTCACAATTTATCATATTTATAATACAGTACACCTATACGTGATGATGATGACACTCTATAATGCCACACTACATAATAAACATCAACAATTCACGTCAACTCGTTATTTAGCCACAATACGCTTCTACTTCTGACCTTACTTTATTCCAAGGCGAGATACATGAGTAAAAAATTCAAATCGAGTATTTAAAATGTCAAGTTTGCGTAGATTGCATTTAAAACAGCTTTTTTTTTTTTGCTATCTGCGTGCCACACTGAGAAACACCGCTCGGTCGGCAAAGAAGCAAGTGGTTATTGAAAAAAAAAAAAAAGAAAAAGTAACGTGCAATAAATCAGTGTCACAAACGAGCGAATTGATTGAGTCAGATTTTGTATTGACACTGGAGCAATGACGCTGAATTTTTGTCTCGCTGTCTCGTGATGAAAAGTAAAAATACGTTGTCACGTGGGTCTGCTATATTGCAGTCGGGCGATATAAATGCTACGCAAATGCTTACGCTTGCAAAATTATAATTACCTTGTTTAAAAAACTAGTCTCTCTCGCACAGGAACCGAAACGTGTATGATATATAATTTTAGATTTTCCGTAAATAAATTTTGATCATTCACACAATGTTACATTTATATACTAATAGAGAACGAAATGGCTTCCCATCTTTATAGCGACAAGACTTTACGTCAACTGCAAGATAAACGAACAAAGATCCCCACCATCGTCGCTATTTATCACCTGCCAATGACACACGCATGTTATAAAAGCAGATAAAACAATGATGCGTGCGATTAGTTTGAGACCGGTGGGAAGGGAGGGAGAAACGATTGCAATCGCCGTGTCTAACTCGCAAGAATGCGGGAAGCGCATTTATCCAAGTCATTATTATTGAACAAAGTTGCGCGTTTTCATTTAAAGTGATTTTATTGCGCTTTTACAAAAGTGGTAAAAGATAAATCATATAAAGTGGTAGATAAATCAGAAAGTGCGCCCCAGGTTAAAGCTAACAAATTCTGAAAGATTAAAATCATCGTACGTGCGTAATATGTTTCGTTAAAGATTATTATTTTCATTAATAAAACGTTAACGATTATTGTAGCTTGTGCGTGTGTGTGTGTGAACGTTAGAAATCGTATGAATCTGTTTTTTTTTTTTTTTTTTAACGACAGATCATCGATGTCAGAAATTATATACAGAATGAGAGTTAATGAAAAACAAAAAAAAAAATAAATATCGTCCCATAGCTCAGAAATAGTGCGAAGACTACTGATCGGGCGATCTCCAAGGTCTTCGATTGCGAAACTCGGAATTGTTTTTCGAGTTGATTTCTTTCTCTCTCTCTCTCTCTCGAAAAAAAAAAAACATTAGCGAAACTGCCGAGATGTGATTACAATGGTCGACAAAACTTTCCCCTCAATCGAACGATTACAGGGTGGTTCGAAATCGGAAACTGCAAGTACCTCGTACGCGAAAATTCGCGAGAGCGTAAAAAAGGAGAAAGGGGGAAAGGGGAAGGGAAGAGCATTGCAAATTTGTCGAGATTCGCACACACAACGGAGTGAATAGAAACGGGTAAATACCTAACGAGATACTGATAACACCTTGAGCGCCATGTTTTTTTTTTTTAGCGACAACGCGAAGTAAACATATATTTCACACGTGGAGCTGTTGGATCTCGCATTAATCTAAAATGAATGAATGAATGAAGATACAAGCAAGAGAGATATAGTGTATTGTTAATGTACATGGCAGCGCGAGTGGCGGACTGAGGAAGTGTGTGAACAAAACTAGCGACTAAGGGAATTCGGAAGAGGTGAAGTCTCGCTTGGGTTTTTTTTTTCTTTTTTTTTTTTTTTTGGTGACAACTACACATGGGGAGTGTTGTAAAAGCCTCTAGCCTGTCTCTTTTTACACAAATTCCGTAAAACGCAAGATCTACATTAGACGCTTTGCTGTATATATCGGAATTGTCGCATACTTATATATCTGCAAAGTAAAACACATACACACATTACCCGGGTTTTAACCATTTTTTTTTTTTTTCATACATGTGGGCGGACCGAGCGCGCGTTTTAACGGATTTATTCTCTCTTTCTTTGTCTCTCTCTCTCTCTCTCTCTCTCTCTCTCTTTCTCTCTCTCTCTCTCTCTTCACGCACACATACAAAAAAGATTTAACGCTCAGTTTATATCACAACGGTGTTAAAAGATTGCGTAATGTCAATCAGGGTCCAAATAGATTTATTGACGTTTGATAAGAACTCGTCGAGTTTGCTGGCGCGATCGCGCATCGCAGTCGTTTGCATTTCCACTTCGCAAAAAACAAAAAAAAAAAGAAATAAACGATCATTTGGACCGCGATTAAGATCGTTTCTCTTTCGCGTACAACCACATCTTTCCTTTCTCATTTCAGTCTATCATTTTGATCGTTCTTTTAATCATTTTTCATCCTTAAAAATATAATAGTATAAAAGTAACGCGCGCGATATCCATGTCGTGTGAGAGATGTCACGAATTAATTTTTGCGTACATTGCGGAACGTGCGACATACATATTATTTATTCGTGCGAAAGATATCGCGTGAATTTTCTTATCTCTAAACGAAAACGCGAGCGAGAAAGTTACAATTACGTAATTCTAGTTCGGGAAAATTGTTTACAAAATTTCCTAGACGGAAAATCATCCAAGTCATTATTCTACGCTTCGCTGTTCGAAAATACATTGAGCGAATCGATAGAAAGAAAACGTTTGTTTGAGCAAATCGATTATTTCGAACGAGAGTCGGCTTGCTTTTCTCGTAAAACAGAAAAATCCGCGATTGTGTGAAGTTATCGAAGAACGAGAAAACGAAACGGGATCGGGTTAATGGCATTTAGCGAGATATATATGTGTGTGTGTGTGTGTGTATGTGTGCGTTCGTTCAGGACAGTAATCGAGGATTGAAACGTCCCATGTGAAGTATTATGCCGGAGGGATTGTGACGAACGAAGTACAAGAAGGGCCTGTCGAGTTTTAATTTCGGTTTTTCCGACACGGTGGTCTGTCTTTCCTCTCTGTAGAAATCCTCTAGCGACTCGATCGACAACACGTCGCCGTCATACGACGCATCCTCCTCGGAAACGTTGGTATCGTCGATTACTTTCATGTGTCGCCTGGCGCTTCTTCTCAACGGTGTTGAGGGATACGTTTCCACGTGATGCCGATTGTTAAGAACGTTCTCGTCGCCGCAGGTGCTGAACAGGTTCATCTGCGAGCGAAATTTACGATTAGTATATTCCCCCGCAAAAATATCTCAGAGAAACTCTTATCGCGTATATAAAAGCGTAAGGGTTCACTCACTTGTAACACGTCGGCCAAATAAAGTCGATGACCTACGCCGTTGATGCCCTTGAAATCGGCGTTGCCCGAGAAGAGCTCGTCCAGTCCCATTCTCTTTAGAGCGGCGGTGGCGTTGATGATGGATCTGTGACTGAACTTCGGAACCTGCAGCTCCAGGCTGTTCCTCGGGATCAGAACTTTGAGCAATTTGTTCCAGGTGCCGTCGCGAAAGGCGCTTCGCACGAGACGCTGCTCGAGACGATCCAGGGTGTCGCCGGGCGCGGTGTGACCCTGCTGACCCGGCAAGACGAAGATGGTCGAGACCAATTTGTCGCTACCCCCGAGGGCGATCGCGGTGGCGTCGATACTGGGCTCGTAGCCGGCCAGGACACTCGATCGCCAAGTGGTAGCCGGGACGGGTACGAGTTTTCTCTGTCTGACCGCCGGCGAGACCGCGAAGTACAATTCGCCGTCCCTGCCGACGGAACTGGTCAGACTGCTGTTGCAGTCGGTTTGAAACACGTTGGCGGAGAGCGCGGCCAAAGGCGATCTCAGCGGAATCGTGCTCGTCTTGACGAAGTCCTTGATCCTACCGCCGGTTTGCTTCCTGATAAGCAAATTCGTTCGCCTGCGCACGAGGTCGCTGATGGTGGCGAAGTTCACCTCGGTTACGAGACCCTCGTAAAACTGTTGCGCCTGCTCCTTGTAGAAAGGCATGAGCTTTCGAACTTTCATCTTGTCGGCGAACAATTCCCGAACGAAAGCGGCGTTCGCGATACCCTGACCCCTCACCAGGCTCACGGTGTCGGTTATATTCTGAAACACCAAATGCGGATTGAACGTGGCCACGTCGTCCAGACCGAGCACCTCGTTCATCTGATCGGACGTCGGTCCGCGAGCGCCCAGGAAGATCATCGCCAGCAAACTGGTCATTCCGAACGGCGAAAGCGCCAGCGATCGCGCGGTGCTCAGACCCTTGTTGGTGGCAACCCAGAAGTTGAACGCGAGCTCGTTGCACAGTTTGGCGAAGTTCACGATGTCGGCGCTCGTGCGACTGACAGTAACGTCCAAGCCGTTCGCGCTCTGCGACGCGTCCAGCTGAACGGATTGCGTCGAAGTCTCCTGCTGATCCTGCGTCGCTTCGGTCGTCGGGAAACGATTGTTCTCGATTACGGAGCTGGATGTGAACGGTGGGAACGTTTGGCTGACGACGGGTGGTGGTTTCCTTGACGGTGGTCTCGGCGGCTTCGGGAGCTTCGGCGGGACTTGCTGCGTTATCAGCGTCCACTTGTCCTCCGCGCTCGTGTCGGTCGTCGAAACGACGTCGGGTTTCTCCGCGGGCTTGTGGCCAACCGTGGGTCTCGACACCTGGCGAACCGGAGGCGTCGTCGATGACGGCACGCGCGTCACTTCCGGCTTCGGGCTCTCGGAATGTTTCAAGGACGCGGGTTTGTTCTCCGTCTTGTTCAACAACTGTCCGTTAATCGAGTCGTTCTTTATCGACAATCCGGAAACGTTCGTTTCGATTGTCGTCGTCTTCTGCGTCGTGATCTGAGAAGGTTTCTTATTCTGACTTAAGACGTTATCGACAGAACTCGAATTGTTCGTGTTATTATTATTCAAACTCGGTTTGGCGAGTTCTTGCTTGTTCTCATTTGCGTCGCCTGACAATTTCTGCGTGTCAACTTCCGCGACAATCGGCTTGGTAGTGCCGACGTCTTTCTGACTCGAAAACAAAGAGCCGTTGTCGTTCTTCTCGTTACCCTGCTGCACAATCGTGTGGTCATCTTTGAAGTCAATTTCTGCGATGTTCAGATTTTGCGAAGAAGACTCGGACGAGGTCGTTTCGTTCGCCACGGCAGTGTTTAACGTAACGTTAGAAGCGCTGCTAATAATTTTGTGCGAACTATGCAACAACTCGGAGTTGGAATTGTTCGAAGCGAAATGAGGAAGAACTTTCTCTGTCGTTGACGAGATAATCGCGACGAGGGATTCGCCCGACGTTTGGTTTTCCGTTTTCGCGTTGCTCTCCGTTGCGTGTGTCGACACGTTCACCGAATGCCTGGTGTTGTTGTTTGCGTCAGCCGGATCAATTAACGCAACTTTCACAGGTAACTGCGACTCCGGACTCGCGTCTGTTTTTGTTACAACAGGCGCCTCCGTGGTTTTTGTTCTCTCGTTGTTCTCCGGTTTCTTTCGATCGTTACTTTCGCCGCTCGGTAATGTCTCGTTGGCATTCGACGATTGAATATTGCCCGTCGTCGATGGTTTCGCGGAACCAGCGGTAACGAATTCCGCGACAATTGCAGCGCCCTGTCCGACGTTGTCCTTCGCATTTTCGGTAGTAGTCGCGAATGTGTCTGGCAAGGAAGACGAAGAAGAAGACGCTGTTGTCGAATCGTCGACTCTCTCGCTACCAGTCGACGGTTTAATCGCTTCTGTCGTGTCATTGACCGACTCCTCCTTCGTCTTTAACGTGTCGTTCGCGAGTTCCGAGTCCGTTAAGAGCGACGCCTGCGTTGTTTGCGTCGCATTTCTTTCCTTCTGATCGTCCTTCTTTTCGACACTGTCCTTGTACATTTGAACGGTGGTTTTGATCTCTTCCGCGAGCTTCGTCGCGTCGGACGAGATCGTCGGCGCGCTCGTCGTTGCTTGATTCTCGTTGGACGACGCGCTCGTCGCAAATCCGGCGATGAGACCGCTCGCCAAGTCGCCGGCTGCGAGATTCGACGCGTGCGTAGGCAAAGCGATCGGCTCGACCGAAGGAATGCTGGACGGTAAGGGTGCGATGTTCAGTAATTGATCCACAGCCGACACCGGATTGCTCAAATTCAACTTCGCAAATGTATCTTCGAAGATTTCAACAGTCGGCGTGGATTTGCTCGAGGATTCATTCGACAACAACGCGGTTGTTGTCGGTCGCGTCGTTTCGGCTACCGAGTCGAGTGCCGTTGAAGCGGTGGACGAGATTTTCGCGACGGTCGACGTAGCTTCGTCGACGACGTGTTTCTCCAAAGCTGCATCAGTCGCGACGGTTTGACTCGCCGGTGACGAAACGTTGAGAATCTTCTCGGGCTGAGTCGAGTGCGAAGTGGTCGTACCGATCGATTGGACGCTTACTTTCTCCGGCGTTGCGGTTGAATTTTCGATTGCCATATCGTTTTTCATCGCTTCGATCGAAGCCGGTGTTGTAACAATCTTAGCATTTGGAAGAGTCTCGGAGATTCCGACGTTCGCGATCGATTCTCGATTCGCATCTGTCATTGCATCGGACTGTTGAACGGTGTAATCAATCGGTCGAACGGTAACGACCGGCAATAGAGCTTCGATGGGAATAGTCGTGTGAATTTTTTCCGTACTGGCAACGTGTTTTTCCTCGTTCGCGTCGTGGGACGTGAGCGCGTCGTGTTGCGTGTTCGCAATCGCTGTTTGATCCGAGACGTTGCGTCTTCCGTCGTAATCGACGTTCACGTCGATCGGCATCATCTCCGGCGTCTCGTTCGACGGCAACGACAACATGGGAGGTCTCGCTTCCGAGACCTGACTCATTACGTTGGACAGGGAGTCGATCAATTGCGTGGGTAATGGTTCGACCGGCGCCGGCTGTGGTTGGATCTCAGTGGTCGGTTGGGAATTGCGATGAGCCGCCGGCGTGTACGTCGGCGTAACCGACGAGTAACCTAATGATTCTTTCGTAACAATCGTGAAATTTTCACCGAGCTGATTTGCCGCGTGCTGCAGTGTTGAGGCACTAGTCGAGACCTCGAGAACTTCCGAAGCGGAGAAGAAGACGGTCGACGATGTTTCGTCGTGATCAGATTTTAGTGGCGCGGATGCGTGGGAAAGCAGTGGCTCCGAAGTGGTGGCATTAGTTCGCGGAATTGCTGTATCGTATGTTGCGCTCACCTGAGACTCTGTCGTAACACCCGGCACGAACGAGGAGGAATCTTCATCATACGAAGCCGCCGGCTCCGTATTGTTCTTGCTCTGCGTGACAACGTAATCCGCGCTCGAAGACGAAATGTCGTCGGTCACACTCGTGATTGCCTCATCACTGGAAGACACGTCGAACGTGACAATCTTCTGCATGTCGGGTATCAATTCCGTCGACGATGATGATGATGATGATGATACACTCGGTGTGGTAATCGAATGATATACCAATGGAACTGTTATTGCCTGATCCACCGTGTCGTTGAGATTCGTTATGTTTTTCGTGATATTGTACACACTCAAAGGTTGCGTATCTGAACTCGTCAACTGCGGGAGTGTCGTAGCTTCGGGCACTTCCGTCAAAGTCACCTCCACGAAGTGTTCAGTTTGACCGCGCTCAGTAGTAGTACTAGTAGTAGTAGTAGTAGTAGTAGTAATCGTAGTAGTAGCGGAGCTAGAAGAGACAGTCGGCTTGTTATCACTCTCGACCGGTATCACACTGAGCATCTGGAAAATCGGGCTCTCGGTAACGGCGGATTGCAACGTGGACAATTTCTGTTCCGTTAAAGTGATAACCGGAACCGGGATCATCGGTTTCTCCGTCGGTTTTTTTTCCTGCGGCACGTTGTTATTAGCGAAACCGCCGTACGCATTCTGAACGTCGGGCGACATTATCGGGGGCTTCCTCGTCGGGACTTTCGACGTCGCGCTCACAGTTTTCTCAGTCGTGGGATTTCGCGACAGATGATTGAATTCGCCGCCCGAAAGAATCGCGTCCGTTTCACCTGACAGAATCGACGGCAGAATGTTGCTCCACTCGACGTTCGCGTGTTCCGGAATCTTCGGAATCAAACCGCCCGTTAAAGCGGGCGGTTTGTCGAGCGCGCTCTTCAACACGTTCTGCACCTTCTGGACCACATCCATGACCTAAAAACCGCGACGTGGAATCTGTTAAATTCGGAGCCGGAACAGGCTTCGAATAACTCTTTAAAAGTTGCTAATTTTTATTCAAAATTATTCATATATTGATAAGCGTAAATCTTCAAAAGCAATTTTCCTTGAAAACTTTATCATCTTATCTGATTAGAAAGATCTCTAAAGCGCCAGAGCTAAATGTTTTTTTCTTATTTTATTATCAGTTTCCCTTTTAATTTATTTATCGTGCTATTTTTTTATTAAGCAAATCTATTTTCCAATTTATAATTTATTAATTATCTAAATTCTTCTATTTATATCTATCGTCTTACACGTTATTTACACACAGAATCTTACAGATAAGATGGAACAAAAGACGAGAGACTGTCAAACGAGACCTTTTTGCCGCCCGTCAGAACGTCGCCGGCTTTTTGAGGTTCTTGCCTGTCCATCGCTATGTGATCCGCGCCACCTGCTGCAATGAGACCTTGAATCTCCTCAACGGTCATCTGCCGCGTAATCATATCACCCTTGTCGTTGTAAGTATAAAACTGAAACTTGTCGGGCCGCAAAAGTCCGGCCGGGGAAGCGACCAGTTTGTGGCTGGACTGCATGTTGTTTTTGTTGCCGTCCGTAGGATGAGCGCGTTTGTTGTAGTCCTGACGGATCATTGTTGATGTGGCTGCACTGTAAAACGCGACGCAGATCCGTCCAGAATTATATACCATCGCGTATATGAATCATTGCGAGTCCCAATCGCGGTGTTTTTCTCGAAGATCGCAGATTAGAATTTTTTTTTTTTATGTACAAGTAGAACAAAAACGATATTTATTTTATTTGCGTTAAGATTTTTTTTTCAGTAAATTTGCTTCGCAAATAAAAATCAAAATTCGCGCATGTCAGGGAATTTGTGACAGCGACGGCAGCGCGAATCGATTTGATAAGAGCCTCTAAGGTTCAATGCGCGCGTATGTAATCTCACTTCCCAATCAGTCTGCCAATTAAGAACGCGAGATGAAACAGCTGTCTGACAGCTCGCGGGAACTAAGGCGAGTGTTTTGAAAAAAAAAGAAGATTCGATTGTTGCGCCTCGCGCGATTATCTGTCTTCCGCATTCTCTCTGTTTTGTCTTTCCCACGCGATTTCCATCTAAACACCGCTCGCGTTAATTCAAAACGCGAAAGAAAAGGACACGTTGCTCTAATTTTATCTCACACACACACACACCGTTCTAAATTCACACGCACACGTTCGACATACACGCGTATGCGTGTGTGTGCACACAATTCGCGATTTGTTGGTTCGTAATTGGGAAAGAAGATGTTTTATTTACGTGATACTGACCTAGGATCGAAAATGTTCGCAGGCACGTGCGCGCGTGGTTCATCGTGGACCGGTACGGTCGCACCTAATTGCGGATTCGTCCAAAATATCACTAGTGCCGGCAACAGCCAGCATAATCGTTCCAGCAACATAATTTCCGTTTCTTTTTCTGAAAACGAAAAAAAGGTAATCCGGAATTACTCTTCTGACGGAATATAACTTTTGCTAAAACCGCTTCCGGTTTTCTTTTTCTCTCTCTCTCTCTCTCTCATATTCACGCACGTTTATCGAATTGAGAGAGATATACGGAAATTCGTCGGGAATTAAATATCCACTTCTTCGTGACGAGAGATCCGCGCTTACGTTAGACAGTTAGTTGCGCGCGTTCTAAGGTTCTAAGATACGGCGCGCGATATGGGAAAAAAGCCGCGAATGAAAAAAAAAAAAAAGAAGAAGCGCGCGAGAAAGGAAAGAGAAGAGATAGGTCAGCGAACCTTTTAATTTCTTGCTAACTGGTTGTTATATCTGTTTTATCTTTATGAGCGAGTGGTTTTTTTTTTTTGTTGCTCCTGGAGTTATATTCACCTCTCCGTCGCGCGTGCAAAAATCATCCGGAAGATGACAATTATGCGCAATTAGCGTGTTCTCCAAAGAGACGAAATTGCGGATGTCAATCCTAAACCTGGCGTATCTAACTTGCGTCTTTCCTTTCTCGCACATATCCCCCCCGGAACGAAATAAAAAGAAGCGAAGCCTCTTTTTTGAGGCTCGAGTAATTTGTTTGTTTTTTTCGCAAGGCACACTCACGTTTTAAAAATGGCTCCTTGAAAATGTCATTTAATCCGCAGGTTCCGGTCGTCGGTGTGTAACTGCGATATCAATTGTTGTTGCGGCGATCGCGCTATATAACGGTCGACAACACCACCACTGGACAACGACGATCACCGGACAGAGAGAGAGACAAGAGAAACAGAAATCCGTAATATTCAACAAAAAAAAAAAAAAAAAAAAGACAACGCTGCTGAATACGTTCGTCGGCGAAGGCGTTTGTCCGACGATCTCCTTCGGACGTGTTCGATTCCCTCGCGCGAATCGACGCCGTCGTTTCTATCCCTTTTTTCCCCCTTGCGATCCTTCCTTCGCGCCTCCGTCCGATCCTCTCTTTCTCTCTCTCTCTCTTTTTCTCTCTCGTTTTCTCTTCTTCCTTTCTTCTGTTAAGGGATCAAGGACGTTTGGCAGTTGAGACTGTTGTGCGGTCGACCTTGTTGTCAGACTCGCCGGTGTAGTGACCTCAGGCCACGGCGAAGATTACGGAGCGTGTGCCGCCTCTGTGCGAACTCCTCCCTTTTCTTCTTCCTCGCCTTCCAGGTCTCTCTCTTTCTCTCTCTCTTTCTCTCTTTCTTGTCTCTTCTTTTTCTCGCGCAATCCCTCGCACTACTATACGCCGTCGTATATCTCGCGTATGTGTATCGAAGCCCGGCTTGGACACTACGAGCGATTCTCTTCCTACGCCACACTTGTCCGCTTCTGCCGTCTTATACCCTGGATAAACACATACTGCAAGGTAGGATCCTTTGCTGGAACGAACGCGGCGAAACAGAAGAGTCGGAAGAGTTGAGGAGGGGGAGACACGCTCCTGAGGGGTAAGACAGAGAAAGGACTTCGCCTCTTTCGCCGCTTTGCGAAGAGCTTCGTCGTCGTCGTCGTCGTCGTCGTCGTCGTCGTGGATCGAGTGGATTACGCGGAAACAGGTGACGCGCGTACATACCCGCCTTGTGCGTGTACGTGCGGTTTTACGCACGATAGTCGCGGATAGATCCGAAGCGAATTTCGTTGGAAAAACGTTGTGGAACAAGATTTTTCTTCTCCTCCCGCTCGATTGAAAATTGCTGAAAAATCGCTAAGAAAATTTTGATTTTATGTTCCAGCTTTTACTTTCAATTTTAACACCGATGCGAATCGTCACGCTCGAATTGTGACGCTCCATTCCAGTGGCTTTTCATATTCCTTAATCGAAAACGAGAAACGTTGGAAGATTTTCAAAGAAAATTTATATAAGCGGGAAAGAGGAAGAGAGAGAGAGAGAAAAGTAGTCACACACAAATATTTTTGAAACGACAACTGCGGCGTGAGCCAGGCCGACGATTCGTGGCGTTTAACGGTACATCGACCGAATGAGTCGTACATGACGTATTAAATTGTGGAAGAAAACCACGCGATGGACCGTGCCGGGAGTTATTTGTAGAAGCCAAAGACCTTTTAAAAGAGATAATCTTTCACAAACGGACATTTATCAGTATATTGTATTCCGCAAGCGAGTTTTGCTTGTGAAAGAAAGTCGCGTAAATATCAGATGTGCGCGATTTCATTCATGAAGCGAATCGATCGTCCTTGATAAACGCGCGAACATCTCAAGACGGACTGCGTCAACATTTTTGGAAAAAGAAAAAAAAACACTCGCACGATGTTGCGACCGCGCAACTAGTTTTACCGCTCTTCCAATAAAACCAACATCTTTTTGGATGCAAATTAAATAATCGTATCGTTTGCTGATGAGATAAGATTTCTCGGTTTTATTGTTCGCGGAGAAACAACTCTCTTTCTCGCAACCGATGACTGTGCGACGGGGGCAAAAAAGCGAAAAACGATAAGACTTGAATTTGACAGACACTTCGTGTGTGTGCGCGCGCGCTCTAAGGGAGACAAATAGACTATCGCGCTCTCGCGGGTAAGAGAACCCGTTTTCTCGTTTCTGTGCGGCCGGCACGACGTGTGTGTTGTCTGGTTGAGTTTTCTGTACGTCGAACATGCGCGGGTTAATAAACAGCTGTCCCACTTGCACGGACTGTCCATCCGTAACCTACTGTTTACCAAGACAACGGTACCGCGCCACGAGAGCTGGATTAAGGTTTATCCAACGGTTTACCTATCGACGAATTTCATGCCGAGAGGGGCACTACTCTCTCGGGAGTAGCGCAGAAAAGGGGAACGCGAGAACGAGCGCTCCGTAAACTCCGACACCGACCGAGTCCGACCTATTTTTCCCGCCACCGATTTCACATAGCTCTCGGCAAGTAGTACCTTATTGGATACGCGCGAGACGTTTGTGATCGATTCGCAAAACAATATATTCCATACATCCGGTCCGTCCGTCTGACGGGCCTTGCCCGTCTCCTCGCCCTGACGAAAGTTTGATCGATTGGACCTACGCGGGAGAACGTTCTCCAAACAACTGGTACGCGATCAACTTCGTCGTTTCACATTTCACATTTATTTGTTTAATTTTTTTTTTGTATTTTATTTTTCAAAATCTTAATTGTGCAACTTAATCACAAGTACATAATTGGACACGTTATCTTTGTCACTTTTAACTTCGCGTTGATCGCGAAGAAAAAGTCGATCTCTCGATATCGATCTGCGACGAATCGCACTTCGATGTCGGTTCAAAAATCTGGAGATTTCATTTTTCTACAATTTTCTTTTTCAAAATTATACAAGTGATTTATAATCGCGAATTTTTTTTCGCACAAGTTCCTTTTTAATCTCGCGTTGACAAATCGACTTCCCGATCGCGACGAATTATGTACTTCGATATCCATCTCAGTCCAAATCTGGAACTTTTTTAGTTTTCCAGAGAATATTTATATGCGTGAACGATAACGAAAATCGCATTTCTAACAATAGAACGTTTCCCTCTTCGACGCGATGCGCGCACGCATGAGAATATGCTATCACAATCGGGGGAGGAGACAGAGAGAGAGAGAGAGAGAGAGAAAAAAAAACACAAGTTAACCGTGTGTCTGCACGAGAAATTCTCAGGTGCGTGAGAGATTCTCCGCGGCGAAGGTGTCACGCTCGGCTGAGCTAACACTACATTCCAGATTACGTAGCTGGAATCGTAGCTCCTAAGAGAGCATCGTCCTGAGAGCATCGACTGGCGTAATCGTCTCTTCCGTCGCCTAATGCGGCGACTCCGCATTATAAATGTTAATCGATACGCGCGCGATACCGCGAGCACAGTAGATAGCGCGTATATATATATATGTATTAATACATGTTCGTGTCCGACATGTAACTATGTAACGCGAGATAAAAGGAGAGAAAGAGACGCTGATGTCTTTATCGCGGTCTTGTGCGAGCGTATTACTTCAAGTTCTTTCTTATCGCTTCGTTTGTTTTTTTGTGTAACAGCTTATGTGGATTATGTAAATCCACAAAATCGATTCCGTGAAATAATTTTGATTATTTATCGCGGCAACACAAAGAAGAGATGGAGTATTTCGAGAAATTACACTAATAATGTTCATCCCGTTTTGCCTCGCAATGTCGTCAATATTTTTTTTTTTTTTTTTTAATTACAAGAAAAGCTGCGAATTTCATTCGTACCGATTTTCTCGGAACAGTTCCAAGATTTGTGTGATCTTCCATTCCGATTTTCTTGTACAAAACTTTTCGCACTCGTACACGTGCAGATGATAAAGTAAAAAATTAATTTTTTTGGTTTTGTTCATCAAAAGTAGATTTGTCCCGAAATTGGCGAACGGAAACTATGATCGTGTCTTTCCCGGAAAGAAATAAATTTACGAGAGAACATCTTTGACGATAAAATTGTCTTTCTCCGATCTCTTCTTCGTCTTCGTCGCGTGTCATACAAAGTGACGAGACGCTGGAAAATCGTCTGGTTAACAACTCGTTCAAACTTTGCGGAAACTGCGTTTGCTATTCAAAGCCAGCATACGTTGTTCGAGCTGTTGGTGTGAAACTTGGCAAGTATAAGCGCTTCTCGACACGTATATACCGGAATGTGTGACTTTTCGGCACACATAACAGTAGTGTATACGCGGCGCATGAGACGATCTCTCACATATAGAAGTACGAGGGGGGAGACAGGTAACGGTCTCCTCCACGCCGTTGTCCAATGCGTGTGTTACGAATTCCGTATTCCGAGCGCCGCGCGCTCGTCCAAAAATCTGATTTAGTTACGCGCGTAGGATGTGAAAATGCCCGTCTCGGATATGTGTTAATACATGATATACACACACGCACATTATGCGGACGATTGCTCCCGTTTATGTGTGTTCTCAAATTCGAGACGCGTGTCCGTGTCTCTCTCTCTCCCAGACTTGCACGTTCGTCCGAGGACGCGACCACAAAATTCCGACCGAGATTATCCGGAATACCAGGCAACGAGGCCATCCTGTAAGGATAAACCGTGTCTCCGGGTGTCGATTGTTCGGGAAGGAGAAACTTATTCTTCTCGCGCGCGTTTTTGACTTGTTCTCCGCATTTGTCATACGTCAAATGTTCTCCGCAATTCTAGATAATTAAACACAACACATTAATAAAATATACAATAAAAATAAATACATAAGATAAGCAAAAAAATTTAAATAAAAATAAATAAAAACTTGATACAACAAATATAAAGTACATGTACAAGATAAGCAGAAATTTAAATAAAAAATAAATAAAAAACTTGAAGCTTCAAGAGCAATTGTTTACACGCGATATTTAATTGCAATTATGCGTAGAAGCGACATGACTACCGCGATGATTACAAATATAGAAGAGGAAGACGAAATGAAAATACTATGCGAGATTCAATTCGTCAACGATGACAAATTTGAGGAAAAACGATCTGCGATTATCGAGCCGCGCGCTGGCAGATACGTTACACCTCACAGTTAGTTAAAATTGCAACTATTCTAAAAAAAGAACTACATTTTTTTAAATGCAATTTATTAATAACGTAAAAAGGAGGAAACGCACCGGTGTCGAAGTCACAGCGTTATTCTCTGTTTTTCCAGAAGTGGTGATAGAAGGAATATTTCAGGACGGTGTGCTTCACGGTGAGGGAAGTATGCGCTGGCCGCAAGGACAAAGAATAGACGGTACTTGGGATCGAGGAAAACTGGTAGAAAAGCGTTACACGTTCGCGGACGGTTTGTCGTATCAGGAAGACGGATGGGATTATTGTAAACCTCCCGACAGACGGTTTGCGATTGTTATCTCTCTTATCTGAAACATCAAAATAAAACTGTAAGAAATTATAAACAAAAAACTTGCAGATTTTATAATTGCATACTAAACGGTCTGAGACCAGCGCGAAAAGTATTAAAAACCAATACCCAGCCAACTAAGATCATAACTCCGTTCGGTTATGATACCGGTACTGGGATTTTTGACTACGGCAAGAAGTGCGTAGCGTCGTATCGTAATTGCAAAAAGGTAAATTACAATGTTCAACAGTAGCAAAGAATATATGTGTATTCTTGTAAAAACAAATTAAAAAATTATAAAAACAATGAGGAATAAATATTATTACAAAGATACTCGAGATTCCAACGACGGAAGAAAGTACTTGGATAAGGGAAAATTGCCGAAAGGGCTGGACGGAACCAACTGGTTACCGAGAATGGTTACACGAATACTGGCACTCGGGCGCGGCAGAGTTTGAGACGTTATTACCTGAGGACGAAACGGAAAATTGGTGGCAAAGGTATGTAAGTTACACACACACACACACACACAAAACTTAAAAATTACTTGACAAAGATTTAATACAAAAATTAATTTAATTGCATTATTTAAGATTGACGACATTTGTCAGACATTCACCCGATGATAAGACAAAAACAACCTAAAAATAAGTTCAAAAAAGAAATATTATCTATTAAAACTTGTGTAAGAAATATATGCATACATTAAGACAAAAAAATAATTAAAAAGTAATATAATAAATAAAAAGATATGTGATATATATATATATATATATGGGTAATTCTCAAAAAACTTAATTTCCGTGGTATATTGACATAAAAAACATAGATATGTTTTTTATATTGCATATTACGTATTTATATTACGAATGACTTAAAAAAACATAATGAAAAAAACATAATTCATCGCTATCCGTTAGTTTAATAATAATTATTTTTTATCAAAAATGAAAGTTGAAACTTACGCGTTCACAGAGAATCACCCACATATATAATTTTAAAATGTCATGTATAGCTTTCAGATAATCATTACAATGATAACAATATGAGATATATAACGGCTGTTATTTCTAATAAACTTGTATAAATTCAATTCGTGTGTGTATTAAAATAAAAATTTTTAGTTGACAACAAGATCTTTTTGTTCAGTTACAATTGTCGGTGCATCGGTTTTTCGATGCACGTTAAATACCACAGACAATTTCAATGGCATGCACGAGTCTTGCGTGCAGACTATCATATTTAATGCGATGTGCAATTGATGAAACGCTTCATCAGCGGGAAGCTTGACCGTCACAGGAGTCGAAAGTCTGCCAGACAGAGATTTCGCTGTCCATGTGTTCACAGGTAACGTCACGTCCCATTGTTGCGGCGCATCCACGTTTAATTTTAGATTATTTTTGAACACGATATTAAACGAGATACTTAATTCCCCACCACTTGTATTAATTGCCGTATCGAAGATAAATTTCGATTTGCTATCGTTGGTTTTATTAGAATCGCATTTCGATACTAAAGTCATCTGAAAATTTAAGTCGAAGAAGAATGAAAGAATTCGTAATTTTATAGAGATCAAAAAATATCTACATATATACTTACGGTTGAAATAGTTTTGTTTTTCAAATCAATACTTTTAAGCGCATGATTATTGGTATCCGCTACATAAAGAATGTTCCCATCTGCGCTAACAGCAAGGCCACTCGGTTCATTGAACTGAAAAATTTTATTATGGACGAAATGTATATATACTTCTAGCGAGTATTATTTATTTTTGATCAAAAATATAAACTTACAGAAAATGTACGATCAGGTTTCCCACCCCCAAATAACGTTTCACAATATCCTGTCTTACTGTCCACGATTTTAATTTTGTGATTGTAAGTATCAGCGACGTAAAGTTGCTTGTCCACATGATTCCACGCTACATCCAACGGATGTTGAAGTTTGGCCGAATAATCCTTTCCATCTATATCTCCGAAAGTATGTAGATTCTATAAAAACAGTTCATAGTCTGGTGAACTATATTACAAGGTCACAAAACAAAATACAAAACACTCGAGTTCCAAAAATAATACCGGACTGAAAACATATTGTATTTGTATATTTGAACACAAACCATTGGATTTTTATTTCCTCCGCAAACAGCAGATACTCGTCCGTTATCTAAGTGCACACGTCTGACGGAACTACTTTCGCTATCCGCGAAAAACGCAATTTTATATTCTTGAACTACCACGATACCAGAAGGTTGTGCCAATCCAGCAGCGTGAGGATAACTGTTGTTACGATTTTCCTCCCGACCAGTTCCAACAATAGCGGCACACGTGCCAGCCGTGTATTTCCTAAGTTATAACTTCGATTGAGAATGTTAATTTTCTTAAAGAAACCTAATTTCTAAATGAAATTAAAAAATCATACGTCATTGGATTACAGAATTTAATAGATCATACTTTTCCTTCCACCAAAAAGTATCTTCCAAAAATAATGCCCAAATCTGATGAGTGCCTGCTATCGCAATTAACAAAACTGGTACAATAGTACCTTTGCACTCGTGATGATAGATCGCAACATCCCAAGGAGATGACAAAGCCTGATCGGTACCGCATTTTCCGCCACAGTAATCGTGACCTTGAAAACCGGTGCCGGCTATGGTAGATACAACTTTCTCAGTTAGATCTATCTGCAACGAATGATTAACTTTGAAAATACAAATAAAACCAATAGTTTAAGACACAATAATAATAATGATATTGTTGTCCTTACTTTCCTAATTGCATGATTGTTATTATCCGCAACATAAATTACGTTCTTGAGTACACAAACTCCTTGGGGAGAAGAAAATTTCGCTTTTTTGAAATTGCCATCTTTAAAACCCTGATTGCATCCGCCTATTAAGTGTTCCACTTCCCCACGTTCGTTTGCGATCACAATTCTATTGTTGCCACTGTCCGATATGACGAGCTTTGTTCCTTGATCGGATGAAAGAATTGCTACTTTACCGGGAAATAACAGACTATCTTTTGACGACGGTAAAAGATGATGTGCTGGTTTTAATGGAAGCTTGTGGCTTGATATTCGTTTTAAAGATTTAAAGTACGATATCATTACTTTTGCGTACAAAAGTATTTCACTTCTGTGACCTTCACCTTCAAAAATAGCCAATGGTTGGCTCTCGGGTCCTGAAACAGGAATTTATAAATTACATATACATAACTTAAAAATATAAATTTTATAAAAACAAGAAAAAAAATATATATATATTTACAAACCTAACATAACAAGACTAGGCCAACATCTAATTCCCAAACACTCCCACATCCTCAATGTTACATCATTTACCACAGGATGTGTGATGTTATATCTTTGTACAGCAGACAAGACATTAGGTGAACTACGTTCATTTGTAAATTTTGCACTGTGAACCCCAACCTGTATAGAAGTATTTATTACTGACCATTGGAATTATTCTATTGAAATATTTATATTTATAACAAAATTTTTCACTCACTACAACAAGACCATCCTCTATGGAAATTTTCTTTTCAATGTCTTCTAAGTCAGCTAAAACATGCATGCAATTAATGCAGCAGTAAGTAAAAAAATCCAAAAGCACAATTTTCCCCTTTAAATGTTGTGCCAGTGACAATCCTTCCGATACGTTGAACCACTCCAAACCTATATAATATTAGACAAAAATATTATTTGCTGAATTACTAAACTATGTTATTAGATTACTTATTAGAGAGAGAAGAACAACAAATGACAAGATACGTTCTTTATACATAATTATTCAAAATAATTACCTTTTGGAAAATCTCCAATTTGTGACTCGGTGGTGTCGAACCGCTTAATGTGGTTTACAATTAATGTTTCTCTGTCCTTCTGCTCGGTCAAAGTTTTTAGACGCTGGCGCGTTTCAATGCAAACATCCGACAAATCTTCTAGAACATTCATTGAACTCATTTTTTCGTTTACAAGTCCACACATTATATTTAAAAGTAAAATGGAACTATGCTTGTTCGACACACTTTTATGTAAACGAAAGAATCTGAAAGAAAAACGAGTTATTTAAAGATCTTAAACAATAGAAAATCTATCACATTGACACGAGCACGCACTGTGTGTGCGTGTGTGTGTATGTGTGTGATCAAAATTTATAATAAATTCTTTGAATGCTTGTGCACACATTACGTACATAAAGTTGGTACGTGCGTTGTAATGACTCAAGGAACATAACGTTGCGTGACGTAACAAACTTGTACATTTGTCAGCATTGCCTAGACTGTCAGCTGAGTTTACTGTATGTGTAATTGCACAACGCTCATGTTTGCGTGCATTCTGTCATTCGACGGAATTTGACAATTACAAATCACACGTTGATGAAAAAAACACCTGGATATATATACGCGTCAGTTTTACCAACATCAGTTAACTTATCGGTTGATTAATCGTCGATCGTAAAGCCCGTTCTACATTGATCGCAAGAGCAAACGCAAGGTATAGATCTCGTAGAATTGACCAATCACGCTGATCAATTGGCTGATTTGATCAATACGATTGGTCAATTCTACCTGCGTTTGCGCTCGCGATCAATGTAGAACAGGCTTTAATTGGATCAATTCGACCAATCCGGTCGGTACGATCTGTCAAATCAGCTGACTCAAGTTAAAACCGAGAGTTGGTAAAACTGGCCTCAAAGATTGAGAACACCGCTAAAACTTGGCAGTGTTGTGATCAAATACTACGCGTTATTGATACATTCCGTACGTATATTCGGTGTTGCTATGTAATTTAAAAAAAAAAATTTAGTTTTAAAACGTCAATTATGGCTAATGTGAAAGATGTCGACTTGGACTGGGTGAAAATACGAGAGGATTTGGACAGCACGTATCTAACCGAGACGATTTTGGAAAAAGCTAAACGTAAAACACGAGAGAATCCACTTGTACCGATAGGTAAATTAACCTTCAATTACTCTATTAGCAGAAGACAGATTTATCGATCTGTATAAATTCTCTCGAACTTTGTCGAGACTGCGAAAATTCAGAGAAAAACAAAAAGATTGAACATAGAGTTTAAGTAAGTACTTTGTGTATTTCCACAGGGAGCCTTGCAACTGCAACAGCATTGACTGTTGGGCTTATAAATTTTTATCGAGGAAAAAGCCAAATGCAACAGTACATGATGCGCGCACGTGTAGCCGCTCAAGCGTTTACCATTGCTTGCATAGCTGTGGGAGTTATTTTTATACCCGGTTCAAAATAAATTTGTGTAAAATTGTCGCACAAGTAGCTATTGGTAGTGTGTGTAAAATAATATTCACTTTTGACATGATGTCAAGACAAATTGTTTAATGTAGACAAATTTATTTAATGTAGGTGTTCTTTGAATATAACATGTTCTTGATATTTAAGAAAACAGAGCATAATATTCGGTAAGAGCATCAGAATTAAAACTTATTGTTCTTATATTTTAAATATCACTTGACTATGTGATATTGTTGTTAGATAAAAGAATTATTTTAATTGTTATCTGTACAAGTTTTTTCCACTATGTGTTACTACTAATAAATTCTATTATAATCTAGTCACTGGGAAGGTTGTGTGTAAAGGTAAGTAGTAAAGGTTGTGTGTAAAGTAAGTGTGTAAAGGTATGTATGTATAATTAAAGATGGAGTAATTGGACAAATTAAATATAAATTTTGTTCACTAATATAATCGTATATTATTAATACATTAAATTCTAATGCTGCATATATATAAATTATATATATATATATATCTTTTTAGTACAATTATATACTAAATATTGCAATACTCCTTTATACATATTTTTAACAAACTTTTAAATGCATTATATGATAGGGCTGCCCTTATCTTCTGTTTTTTGTAAAAATAAAATTTTTACATTTATATAAAAGTAGAAAACAAAATTAATCAAAATGTTTTATATTATGTATTTCTATTGAAGGCTGAAGAAAACTTTTATACATAGATTTATATCAATCAAAAAATATATATCAATATGCATATTATTTCTGACTAAAGAGTTCATCTAAAGTGCGTACTAAGTCAGGAAATATATTCAATACTGACTAATATGCGTTTTTCCTCTTCACAGATTTAAAATCCTGATACGGAATAATGCGAAACATTTTAGAAGACTGCTTTGTAGAATAACGAAATTGTTCAGAAAAAAAAAATATCGAATTTGTTACGCGTTTCTTTTATTAGTCGAAGGTAAATGGGGTTTTAGAGTAATGGCACTTTGTTTAAACGCACCGCTGATGCTTCGCGAACGCGAACGCAAACTTGTTAGACTATTTGTGGAACTACAACTGCTTAAGCTAGTACTAGGCGTGAGATCAAAAATTGTTTGTACAGGAGGTCTCGTGGATGAGTAATCCGATGGGATTGATTCTGCAATAAAAGAAATAATTGTTTTAAATAAGTTTTTCAAGTGTCAACGCGTTATAACTCGAAAGATTCGTAATTTGAGGATTTACCGATTAAAGGAGTCTCGTCATATAGCGAGCCCTGTCTTTTATTGCTGATAAAAGAATTTCTTGTACTTTCAATGCTGGACACACGTTGAATAACTTCCGCCGCGTGCTTCCATCTTGAATGATCGTTGATGTGCGACGACAAAAACTTCAACCATTTTTGGGCTTCGTCTTTCGACTCAAATTTAATCGACAATACTTTCTCCATATTATTGCCGGAATTATTTATCAAAAGTTGTTTGGCGGAAGATTTGAACAATTGTACGGACGTTCCCTGTAAAATATGTGCAAAAATTAGTTGAACTGAAATAAGTTAATACTTTTGGTCTACACATTTACAATTTTTGTCACTTTAACGAAGAAAAGTAATAATATTTATAAAAATCTATATAAACACGTTTCACCTCTCTTGATTTAAGTGACAAAACTTGAACAGTGTAACCATATGCATATAAGAAGATGCTAACTTTATTAACTGGTATGACGTGTTCTGGATTTTGCTCTTCTTCCGCATGCTTTTTTGATTCCCAAGCCTTTATACAGAACCCCTGTAGACGTGCCCAATAATCCTGACCGTTTATATTCACACTGCCGATGCAAATTTCTTTACTGATACTTTCCGGCTGTGCTGCCAATCGACAACAAAAGTGACCGAAAAGCGGCAGGGAATGATATTTATTTTCTGTAAAAAGAAAAAAAGACTCGCGTTTTAGATACTTAGAAAAAAATATTTCTTTTAATATAAACTTACCAATGTTGTTGATAACGAGATCGTGTGTGTGAATATTATCGTCCGTGTCATCTAGAGTCAGTTTTGCACGAGCTACTAAATCAAAGTGTGGTCCACTGAAAAGAAAGTAACGATAAAAAAAACGCTTGAAATTTCACATTTGCCATTTATTTAAAAAAAAAAAACTTACGATTTCGTCGAACCAAACTCGTCCCGAAGTGATGCGGCAAGTTTTTTGCCAACTGTTTTCGAGATTGACGAGTGAATTGTCTTTTTGATTCTTCTTGGTGTGCTGGCAATGCTGAAATCTTCTTGCAAAACGTGACTATAAATTTCCAGGACTAATTCAAATTCAGGAGACACGTTGTTACTGAGAAGCAAAAAGAACAAAGATCTAGAATTGCGAAATAAATAAGTCGCGCGATCATCAATTGCGTCAATTATTCAGTACTTACAATACCAAAACGTCGGGAAAACTGATATCTGTGTGAGATCTGTCGATCGGACACAGCAAAGAGGTGTCGTGGATTTCCGTGCCAAGTCGCGCTAAGCAAAACACCGCAAACCGACGATAGTCGCCGCGATTTTTGAAGTGATCAGAATCTCTCCACATTAGCGGTATTCTAAGATCCGAAATCGACAGTCTGCCCGTGCTTCCAGGACTGTTGGAAAATTACAAAATCTCTCAAATTGCGGCAAAGTGTATTTTATTTCCGCGTTTTTAGGAAAAGTCGTTACGAGAAAAAAAACAAACAAACCATGGCTTTTTGACGGATTCGCGACGACGAGTCTGTAACTCCGCCATGTAAACCGACATCCTCTCGTTCGACGTGAGCAACGCTTTAGCGGCTTCCAGACTTTGAGCGCGATGCTTTGCGGCAGCCAAAAGTCTCGTGGAGCCTTCTCTCATCTTGATTTCCACCTCGATCTTTTGCTCGAGATCGTGCTCCTAAAACACACAGTTCGTTAACATTTGCAAGCGGGTGATATTCGAACATTGCCGTAAATTTGATTTCGTATATTATTTTATAATATTCTTTTATGTATTTTATTGTTTTCTTTTTATTCAATTTTAAAGAGAACTATTTTGAAGCAACTCGAGCAACTTGGTTTCCAGAGAAAACCCAATAATCGCTCGCCGCAGATTTAAATGTAATAAAGCACGGTAGTAACGAAACGAGAACAACCGATAGACACAAACAATCGGATACAAAATGTAAAAAGTTCAGCATTAAAACGAACTAGCTTGCTAACACGTGACCTGTCACGCGTTTTTGGTGTCCGATTACAAAAGTTAATGAAACGTCTCACGTATTTCGCGAACGAATCGTTTTTTTTTTTATTCTTGGGAGACCTGTAGACCGACTCCAAGAACGATTCGGCGGCGTCGATTCGAAAGATGCGCATATTGCAAATTTTTCAAACACAGATGCAGATTTATACAGAGAACTTTCTATATTGTATATTTATTCGATAGAAAATTGAATACAATAACCTGGGAAAACGTCATCTTTTCATTCGTTCGCTCGTAAGATTTCGACATATATATATATATGCGAGAGAGAGAGAAAGAGAAAGAGAAAGTAAATATTTTATCCGTTTACACACGGATAGCTACACAATGCTAGCGCGAATGAATGGAAATTCCACTTCGCGACAAGAAATAAACTTCGCGAGAGCGTAAATAAATCGAAAGAGCCTTCGCCAAGCTACTATACGATGGTAGCAAAACGCAGAATCGGACTGAAATAACGACTCTCTTCGGGGAAGTGGGCAAACACACGAGGGGGTGACGTTCACCTCCGGCAAATTGGCTCTCGCTTATACGCTCTTCTCTCCTTCCACCCTCGGCGTACCACGCTGGCATCGTCGAATATCGATCCGTCACTCGTCGGCTTTTATTGTCGGTGCGTGCACGAGAGAAATCGCATTTTATCCCCTGCGTGGTAGGGCAAACGCTCGGAAAAATCGAAGAAGTGGTTTCTTTTCGATTTCTCTTCTCTCTCGTATTGTTTTCTTCAAATGTGCTTTTTCCGAACATTATTTTACGTTGTCTTTTTTTAAATCAAAATACATCTAATATAACAATTTTCTCCCTCGGATCGCTAATTCGCTAATCTACGCGAATGTTCGAATGAAGCTGCAATCCAAAAATAACGAACGCATCAGTAAAATCAATAATGAAGATGAATCATTGAGCGAATCGAGCGATTTCGTATTCCGTTAACGTGTTACAAACATGACACATCCTTACTCGGTATACTCGGCGACGGGTTTTTATTAGGAAAATCATAGACGTGTACATATGCGACGCACACACAATACACACCACTTTGTGTGTGTGTTGCTTCGCTTCCTCCCGGCCTCGGATAGAAATTTTCGCAACGACGCGAGAGGGTCTACATTTAATCCCTGACCTCGCTCGAGTCTGTGTAACGAGCCTTGATGAAATTCGTTGATGCGCGCGCTGTGATGATGACGGGCTCCGAGTTCACGTAAGCACGAATGTGTAACACAATTCGCGCGAATATTATATGTATTATCTCGACCACTCCGTAAAGTATCGCGCGTGTGCGACACGTGTTGGGAAAATTACGTGTGCGCATCTCAGACATTTTTATTTCTGTTTTTCGCTCTCTCATCTCTCTTCGACTCTCCCCGTGCGAACTCCCTTCGTGTATACTTTGTTCCTTTGTGCATTCTCTTCCCCCCCTCAAAATTGTGCTCTTTCTCTGTATGTTGCCAACACTTTCCCGACAGCTTGTCTGCCGAAAATAGTCGCCAGAAATCCAATACCCTCCCCGGTGCAACTTGTGCCCGTAATGGTCACTACGTGAGCGCGACACGCGACACGCGTGCTTTCGCGCGCGCATCTTCTTTCTCGCGTAAATTTTCTAATACCCGGTCGGGACAAAGTGGAGCGCGAATTGAGGAAAGTTACCCGATTAAAACCACGTTCTAGTATAAAACACACATACGCACAAGACGTATATTTTACGAATTAAAGTAATTAAAAAGCACTTAAACGGTAATATAAAGTACTTAAATAGTAATAAATATTCTACGAGCTGACGTGTACGTGTTTTAGAATCTCTATTGAGATTTCCTACTCCGGTTCAATCAAGTTGCGTATGTGTAAAACGACGAGTCTCGTTCGAAAACGCCGACGACTCAACGAATGATTTCGAATTTGATATTTCTAGTATTTTTGTTATACGCGCGCACAATTCGTACATCCAACCGCGCGATATCACACGCGGTGTCTAAAAATACACGAACGACTCCGCGAGGAAACGTCGGAGATTCTGTGAAAAGCGTTTTACCTACACACATACACACATACAGAAGAAGAACGACGCAGCGCGTCGTGCGTGCGAGCTTCCCGCACGCGTTTCGAGAGCACACACGTAGTTCTTCTCTTCACATAATTTCATATTCTAACTTTCTATCTCGTTAAGCGACCGATCGGTCGAGATAAGGCAAGAAAAAAAAATGAAAGTCACATCTTCACAGACACGTGTCGTAATTTCACGTGTACTTGATGTGAATGTGAACGCTTATAATTTTTTTTTTTTAAAGTTGCCCGAGTTGCGGATCTCGGACGAAGCGTTTACCTTCGAATTGCGTGCGATCTGTCGCACGTAGTACAGATCCAGATCCTGAAAAACGTCGCTCTTTGACGGATGCGTCGAGGTCCTCGATCGCGTCAACGCGTCCTCGGCGTTGTCGTTCCGTCCGTCGCCGAGTCGCAGATCTCTCGATTTATTCGCGTGCCGCGGATTCAGCATCGCCAAATTCGGGAAGCAGGAGTCCATCTTTCCACGTGTGTGTGTGTAATATATTCGTATTATATATTTGTATTTACGATTTCGCGCAGTCGAACTTCGATTATTGCTCCATCCCCTTCTCCTTGATTAGATTGCACACGAGATTTCGAAGGGAAGAGCCATCGTCGTTCGCGCGGTGATATCACACGAGTACTCGCACGTAGAATTGCACTGTTTGTTTGTTTCTTTTTTTTTTGCACGAAGGATAAATGTCTCGCACAAGTCGCGCGGTTTTTGTCTCTTCAAAAGAACCCTGACCTCAAATTCTTAAACAGGAGTCGCAAGGACAAAAGTCCGTCCTCTGCTTGTGTTTTCTTTTTCTTTTTTTTTTTTAGAGATCAAAAAGGTCAGACGAAGGACGCTTCTGTTTCCGCCAAAGACTTATCGCTCGCGTCTGCCGCGTGCGCGCACGCTTCTATAATAAAATTTGACCTCCAAAATCAATCGGGGGACCGAGGCGACAAGAAAATATTGTTGCCGCAATTTAAACTTCGGGATCTTCCCGTCGGGAGGTTCTCCTCTTCTTGATTTAAAATCACACGTAACACTTGTTACGTCTTGCTGTGTGTCGAGTATAATCAAACGGACAGCTAACAGATAGATGGTGATAGATCCGGCCGTTGTTCTACGTTAGTTTTCCGTTGGGTTTTAAAGCGACGAGTCGTGACAACGACGACGACGACGACGGCGCGCATCCGCGCGATTCAACGATAAGCAACAAACGATGCCATTTCGTCCTTTGCTTCCTCAATTGTTCGCCGATCCTCCCGTCTTGTCTTCTGCCCTTCTGCCAAATTTGTTTCTCTCCGTTTCCGGTGGAAGTCAACGCCCAATTATGTATCATGATTCGCACCGTCGGAAGAAAAAACCCAAAGCCTTGCGTCCTCTTCGAGTTTACGCACCTACGACCGATTCGTTTTTCGAGGCATCCTTCCACGTGGGGGTGGCGACGTGTGTGGTATCGTACGTGAAGAGAGGATGATGACGAGAGATAAACGGAGCCACCGGACGAAAACCGGTTAACACACACGACCGGTTACCGCACGACTAGAACAGACTAGACGGGGACGTAATAGACCGACAAAAGCGTGTAACGTGTCAACGGGGAATGTTGACACGTTACTGATTTTGCGAAAAAAAA